CAGTTTCTGCATTTGAGCTTACCGAGAGTAAGCTTCCTTAATAAAGAAGCTACAGCACCTTATGTGACAGGAAAAATAGTAATAAATGTGTGTATTGCAGTTCAGTAAAAGTATAAATAAGAGCAGGAAAGTAAGGGTGCTACACGAGGGATTCCCATGCCTTGTACCATGGACTACTGTACCACACCTGCTGGTTTCTGGTTAAGATAATTCAACCACAATGATAAGCCCTAATAAAAGGATTAATTTTGAACTCTTTAACCATTTTCGGTTTCTAAACGCATATGAGGTGGCCTTTGAACTATTGGGTTTCATGAGAGCTTGAGATCATCAGCTTAGGAAACAAACGGTTCCAAACAAGCCACTGGTTGTTTCAGTAAAGTGCAGCCCCAGCCCCAAGGTTAAGAAGTCCTGTATTACACCTGTGCTCAAAAATGAAAATACCGAAGCTTCCTTTTTATCCTTTCATTAAAGGACAAATAACATCCAAACCTTTCATGCTATACTTTAAATGTCAACACTGACCACTCCATTCACTTTCTGCTGCTAATATTCAGTGCTGTTTGGCTTCTTGATCATGTTGTAGAGCTCAATTGCTAATGCTTACGGTAAAAAAACTTGTCAGAAGCCTGGAATGATCACATTCAATTTGCTCACAACATATCCTTGAGTGAAATGACTCTCGGGATGCTATTCACAGCTTTATCATTACCCTTCCAGAAGTAAAGTATTTCTCTCTTGCTGTACATAGTACTGTATATGAGAACTAAACAAAAAAGACGAGAGACGTCGATTACACAGTTCTCTTATATTTTGTACAGCAAGAGATGATGTGCTTCTGAAGAGGTGGAGCTGAGGGTCTAGAATACAGCACAGCATACTGACAGGGACCTCACCAAGGATAATGGCGTGAGCAAACACTCAACACTTCAGACATTTTTTTCAAACATTAAAAATGCATATTTCTTAATTATGAATAACCAAAATGTGATGAGGTAACATATATTAAAATTAAATTGGAAAATAGACTGGTCAGGTTTAATATTTAACATTTTATAGTACAGTATATTGAGCTGCTCAGTTGTTCTTACAGTGTTACTAGGCATTTGACTAGATTTTAAAGTCTTGCCACACAAATCACTTCCCACACTTTTGAAACAAGAGATGTCACTCTGATGTTATGTATACACAATTAAATTAAAGTACATTCATCATAATTATTTTTTTTAAATTGAGCAGCATTTTACCATTGTGAGGGTATTATGATTCATTCTTAATTTATTCATGTTCTCTTAATGAAGGGAGGCCTTAATGAACTATTAATGACTTTAATGATATATGAGTACTCTACAGTATATGGCCCTCTATGTTTTTACAATAGTTTGACAATGATATAAGTAAAATGACCTTTTACATTTTTAATAAAGGTATGACATGAAGAAACTGGGGGCGTCACTGTCCAGGGTGTATCCTGTCTTGTGCCCATAGCTTGCTGAGATAGGATCGGGGTCTCCTGCAACCCAAAATTGGAAGAAGAGGTTAGAAGATTGATGGATGGATTGGCCAAGTAACTCATAAATGTTAATTAATGATTGCATACTGTTGCTAGTTTTTTAAATATTCTTTCTTCATATTATATGTGTAATATCATGCTCGTGATTATACCAATCTGTTCTGTCCTTTGTATAAATTAACAAATAAAACTAACATTGGGGAAATTATAAGGAGAAAGCATATGATTGTTATTCTGTCGATAATACAATACAATGCAAAATCCATCATCAACAAGATTTTTTATCCTTGACGATCAATTTAAAAATAAAAGATCACATGTACAGTAACTGTGGTTTATAAAGTAATTGTAGTAAACAATACAGCTCTCAGTGAGTGCCATCACAGAGGCACACGTACAGTACAAGGTCAGAGACATTGGATTTAGTGCTGGGAAAGCCTTGTTTTTTTCTCACACAGTGATATAATTGTAGGTAGATAAATTAAGTAAGTAGTATGTATTAATACGTTTAGACAATAATCAAAAACCTCCATGTCACTTGTTTTTTCAAACGTCATGCAATAGTGGACATTAAATACAAGCATATTATTTCAGTTAAATTTAGAATACAAATTTGTATCGCAAAGCATGATCTCAATTTGTAATTATTATTTTTTTAATTGAGGGCCTTATGAATCTGTTTTAAATGTGGTGTGAACATTAAACTGTGGTACAAACATGATAATTTATACACTGTATTAAGATAATTTAAGTTATTATATACTGTATATATATCAAAATAGAAATGTCATTTTCTGTAGCAGAATGAGGACATCACAATGCTATTTTCTCTCTTGGTGAATTGCTGTATTATCGTTTAGATAAGAGGTCTCTTGTGTAATATGACCAGATGTATAAGGGTTCAAGAGATAGGAGAGAAACTGCTTTGAAACCTTCTTGAGCTTTTTCTCCTGGGCTTAGAAAATCAGTGAGGCTGAAGGTCTCTCTGGTCCATTTTCTTAGAGATGAAGAAATAACACCATTCCAACTATAGAAATCTTTGAAGACTTTATAGAAGACTTTGCCCATTTTTTTCTACTTCTGTTCAAGCTCCACATAGGAGTTCAGTAGCACTGAGAGGTTAATTTAGAATTTAGAAGTCTGATCACAGTAGTTACAGTATGTGTGCCCACACAATTGTCTACAGTATTCAGTATGTGCCTGTATATTGATACAGCAACCTTTATTCTTTAATGTATATTTGAACTAATACAATTAACTCTATTCAATGATCAAATTATTCTATTCTGCCCTTCTGTGGCTCTACTGTGATTGAGCTGTAACCTTCATGAAAATATCTGCTGCATTTAAATCATACATTTGAATGCAAACAAAATGGATTGTAAACAGAACTGAAAGCTTATTGTTTGTCCTTTGTAGCTTGAGTTGAAGATGTTGTAGAGTACAGATCTTTTTTAATAGTGGTGTTTTTCAATACCAAATACTCTTACAGCAGTTTTGTATTATCATACATATTTCATACTGTAGGTGGGTGGCTTTCGAGTCTATTCTTTTTTTCAATTTAATAAGACAATTAAAAATAAAGGAGAAAGAAAGCACTTTATAAAATAAATGAAAAATCCAGATAAAGAAATGGTCTAGAATTAATTACAAGAACAGGTAGAAAAGGATGTTAGAAACCCCAGATCAGGATAAGTAATTCTATTGGGTCTTTATTCACTTGATTCAGGGTTTTCTCCCTTTTTATGGATGGGTGCTACAGTACATGTTGTCCAACCATGATGTAGATAATCTGGCTTTCTTCAACAAATGGCTGAATGAGATGCTTGGATCAAATAGCTATTAACTACCAAACAAGCAAGATGGATTATTTTATGACCTCTTCTTATTTGTAACATTTCTTATGTTCTTACTGTATATACTGTAACAACGACATACTGTACATTCCTTTGATCTGTTTTGCAAATACATTATGTTAATGACAGATGTGTTTGCCTTTCTGACAAGGAGAACATTAAAAGGCAAAGAAAATTGCATTAATCACCTTCTATTTCAATAGGTAAGTTAAATGTTCCGAGTCCCTCAGAATAACTTTGTGTCAGAGATCACCATTTTATTTATTTTAGCCTTTGCTCATTTTTATTAGAAAGCCTCACAGCAGTTTTCAACAATGATTAGTCTTAAAGCTATAATAATCAAGCTGAAAACTAAGGAACGTAATGAAATTCAAAAATTAACCTGGCGATGCGTGAACATATTAATTGCAAAATAAAATATAAACTATGCTAATCAGATGTAACCATTGTGTTGCCAAGGCATCCCCACATCTGCAAAACAAGTAAATACATCTTAGGTTCTACAAATCCTAGGCAACTGGGATATACAGTAGCCTAGTTTCCCCAAGTGTAATTTCTTTATAGAATTAAGTAGGATGGTTGTAATTGTTTACTGTGTCAAGCTGCCATATCAAGGGTTCCCCAGAAGTTTCCTTCCTTGCTGTGGATTGGTCATGTCAATGGAGCTAAGCAGAAACAATCTAAATTAATTTACTTGTATAAGTACAGTGTTTTTCATACCATGACATTTGCATAAAGTACAGCAGGGACCGATTTCATTCGCAACTGAAATACATCACCCAACTGGGAGACCTACTGGGAGAGCCATTGCGCACCAGCAGTCCCACTGCACAGCAGACCAGGCAGACAAGTGATACACTATTTCACAACAACTACTGTACCTGCATCAGAACCTTAACCCGCCTGCCAGTTGAACATTTCTATCCCAGTGCTTTAAGGCGGCTGTTTTACATGAATCTTGGTTCTTTCTGTGGAAACCCACCATTGAGTATTGGGTTTGTAATATTTAATGGAAGGGAATCAGAGTGGAAAACACGTATCCAAAAATCCCTGTTGCTTCCAATAGAGATTGAGTCATTACATCGCTGCGTGGTGAACACAAAATAATATCCATTCACATTGAGAATTATCAAATGTAATAAACTTTTTTGGATTGTCTTTTCTTAATGTAAAGGTATTTAAAAGGTATTTCATATTGTTTGTATAGGAAATGTTTGATTAGGAAATTCAGAGTAAATGAATTATAATATATCTATATAATACAGTATGTCTTTAAGATGAATTATAGTCATAATACCATAATGCATTTGGGTAGATTCTCCCTAGATATCCAGAAAGGAGGCAGGGCACATGCTACACTGCTGGGTTTCAAACCTTGTTTTTCAGCTCCCAGACATGGCTGGACTCTACTTTATATGCAATTTGCATTTGTATCCTAGATTTTCATCCTGTAGCAGCCTGTCTAACCCTGTCTTTCCCCTTGGCAGATATACTATAGCGTGGACAACTGGCTCCACAGTGGTGCAGTTCCAGTAATACAATTCCAAACAATACTTTCATACAGGGATAGTTTTTTTTAACATCTTATGAAAAACAATAGTAATTCTTTTTTTTTCTTTTTTCTGTTTTAGGTGTACCGACATTCATACACAGCATCATATTCTATTTACAACATTCTTTCGAGGTAAGAGGACTGTACAGTACTTGTTCTGATGGCCTGATTAACAGTTTGTTGCTGGATGATAAAACAGTGTGAACAATTAACATTAAGTATGCTTTACTGCATTCTCAGTGCAATTGCACATTGCAGTCTTTGCTCAACCAGACATGAGATTTCTCAGTGGGGCTGAGAAGTCTATAGATAGTGTAATATCATTTGTAACATTTATTTTCAAGGGAAGTCTTGGAGTTGAACCCTCCAGAGGTCTCTGATTCTGTGTTACAGCATGCTGCCTGGGGAGTTCAGGGACAACAACTGGTAAGATTTAAGCTTCTCTCCTTAACAACTGAATTCCAACAGAAAGTAACACTTTTTACCCAGAATTTGACATGAACAGCAGGTTGTGAGTGCATTTACTCTCTTCTCTCCAATTAGTGCTGCCTTTGCAATATGTATACAGTATAGTATATAGCAGTTTGGACCCCTGCATGCAAATTCATACATTTCTCTCTTGACCTCTGTGCTCTGGCTGTTGTACTGCTGTGCATTTCCATGACTTAAAATGTTTTGCATGTATTTGCACACTGGCAGTCAAAGGTACAGTGTAACTTGGACACTCCTAATGGAATACACTCAGGGTGGGAAGAATCACCCTGAACTTTTCACCCATAAACTGCGATCCAGAGAAGACAACTTGAAAAAGAGAACAGAAAGACGTTGGAATATATTATTTTTTACACAGAAATATCTCTAAACCTCAAGCTTTAGCACGTTATTGTTTTACTATAGGCAAAGCACATGAACTTAACAAATTATAAAGAGTGGCAGCGCCCATTTTAACACCTTTTACCATGGATGAGCCTGACATTAGAGTGATAAAGGAAACCCACATAAGTTTACTCAAGAACTGGCATCACTCTTCTGAAGTGGCGATAGGGTTTGCATGTCCCTGACACCTAAAGAGCTGGCACAGTATAAGCTGTTAAACTGCTCTGGTTAGGACAATAATTAAGATGATGTAATTTAAGACAAGAATGAGAATGAAAGCCCAAAAGCACGACAGGTGGGACAACCAAGCTCTAGACCATGATTCACTGTTGAACTCTGTGGACACTAAGCTTTTATGTATACAGTAGGATGGCATCTCTTCCTCATTGCATTCCATCTCTAAGCTTAACTGGGTAGATTATTTGACACTGATTTCTGTAGTCGTGGGTTGGAGCCTACTGTAGGTCATCTCACTGTCTAACTGGGTTTCCTCAGGCAGGGACACCACTGTGGGAAGGGTTGCAGCTAATCATCCAGATCTATTTCAGCTTCTAGTGACACAATGACCACAATTTTCTATTCCATGTTGGGTGGTTTATAACACATATATCGTGACTCTAAATTTTAGAGAGGAAAAAAAGCCCCAAAGGGGCACACATCTCGAGCAAAATCTCTAAATACCTTTAGATCACCATCAGCAATGCTGTAAGAACAAGAAAATGTGTTATGATGTAGGTGTCATTGACCTCTCTGTGTCATTTTTCTGTATTAGAAAAACTGGTCCTTTGTTGACAATAAACAGGCTATAACATTTAGGAAAACTCTTGTCTAAATTATACACGTTTATTGTCTTTTATTTAAGCATAAATCATGCCACGTCCATTAGTAAACTATTACTACGATGATAGGACTGAGCATGACAGATGTGAAGATTATTTGGAAAGCACTGTTGTGGAACAGCACAGTCTGTATAAATAACAAAATTGAACCACATGTACAACATGTGCATAGAATTCAAGGTGACATACAGTAATTTCTTTGTATAAATTTACTTGGCAATGAAGCCCATGTGTTCAACCAAAACCGTGCACAGATAAATCCACCAGAAGTAATGTTTTCGTAATCTGTATGTGGTCTATTTGTACAGTGTATGTAAAATAATGTGCATCCAGATACGTGCAGAAAAGCAAATCACATTTCATCACTTACAGTACTGTATGTTGATTGCAGGGGCTATACAGTATGAGCAATTTGATGTGTCTGTAATGTAATATTGAGAGACAATTACATTGCAGAAAAACCTAAAGGTCACATTAAATGGTTGAAAGTTTAAAAATATAAAAAGCATTATTATCTCTAAAATAAATTTAATTATAAATTATTGTTACATGTCAGGGGTATAACTGTATCAACTATTTTATTGTCATTCATTTAAGGGAATCACTTTAGAAATGCAAGCTAGTGGCATATTATCTAATATACAGATAAATAATCTGTTATATACAGTATGAGATGCTGTAATAGGGGCCCTGACTAACTCTGTTGGTAGCGCATGAGACTCAGAATCTCAGGGTAATGGGTTCATATCCCACTTATGGTGCCAAGGGTGCAAGGCTGACAACCCATCCCACCCCATATTAGATAATCTAACAGATGTTCTATTATCTAATATGGGGTGGGATGGGTTAATCAGTTCAGATAGTTACCCCAACTAAGTGGAAGGATCATATGACTTAACAACAACAGAAAAGAAGATGTTTTTTTTTATTGTTTTTTTTTATGAAAGAAGACGTGATCTTGCTTGAAGCGTTCGGGCTGCTTTAGCTTTTCACTTTTAAGAAATGGCTTGCACTGAAGATGGCATCAGGACTGATTGATATCCAAGTGCTAATATGGATTGCAACTTGTATTTACTATGTTGTTCCCCAGCACTTTCCTTTTTTGTGAGACAGTTATTGCCATGGATGTCAGAGTTGAACCCTATCTGGATGACAGGTGTTATGACATACCATAATATTAATTTATGATCTGCGCCGTACCTGTGTTACCTCTAAGTTGAGTGCATGCACGTCTATGGGAGACCCTTGAAAGTCCTGTCACAAAACGGTGCAGGCCAAGCAACAATTTAGGAAATAACAGCTTTACTAAACCATAAATCATGCTGGGAAACTGAGCAGTGCAGTTCACGAACGATCATTCCTTTTGAAAAAAACAAATCCAGCCCCAAGTCTAGCGAGACAACACCAAAATGAGAGGAACTTTGGAAACTCAAGTCGAATATGATACTATGTTAATTCAACCTACAAAATGACCAAACTCATATTAATTGTTGTTTGAAAGTTACATTATTACAGTATGTCTTCAGCCGTGAATGAAAATATAAGAGTATGTAAATAACATAATGTGATGCTATATTTTTGTTTTTTAGTTTTCCATTTTCAATCCAATTTATTTCACCCTTACCTTTGGTGAGATGTTTCTTTATAAATAAAACTTCCACAATATTTTAACCTACAGTACAATAAATGTTTTGAGTACAAGTGTACTCAACATACAGGTAAAGCATGTCAATGAAACCGTCTTTTTATGATTTTTTCACAAAAATATAATGTTTCTTAAACGATGGCATAATTCCATGTTGAAGAAGAAAAATTACTAAGACTATCAATATTACATTTCCTTGCAATTTTACATTACAGTGTCTTATTTTGCCTTTAGTCTGGTAAATGACTAAGCCTTATTTCATCAATTACTACTTCAATGAATTTGGTATTCAATGGCACTATCTAAAATCAGCTGGAAGGGAATTGAAAAATATAAAGTAGTAATATGTTGTTCTACATGTCCAATCCAAGATAAATGCACTGTATGGTCCAAGCAAAATCCATCCATAGAATTTAAATTGCTATTTCCTAGAAGCTGTATGTGATGTGGAAGTATATTTGTTGTTACTGTATGTCATTACAACTCAAATAAAAGTAAGGGTTTTTTTACTTAGTTTGAGGGCATGCCCAAGTCTGACATGTTTAACATAACCTCAGGTTGCTCAGAGCATTGAAGTCTGTGTGCATGAGACACGGCCGAGAATGCAGAATTGGTTAATACTGTATGTACAAAAACATTTGTCTCTACGTTTAATGTTTTGTGCATAGAGTAAATGAAAAAAAGTGTTCACGCAGGATCCCTGCAGATTTAGCTTTTGTGTCACATATTATATTATATATGCATATAGATAATTATATTATTAATTTGATCCTGCTCTTACTTTGATAACTTAAGAGAAAGCATCTGTAGCTTTCTGTAGATTTAGGCACCAGATGCTGTAAAGAATCATTTCTTTGTCATGCATTGTAAAGATGCATTGGGCCTTGGAAAAGTATTCACCCTCATAATCGTGTCCCATTTTCTTTCATTGCATACAAATATGAAACATACAAATATGATGGGCACCAGCTCCCTTGTGACCTGTATTGAATAAAATCATTCAAAAATAGATGGATGAATATACACAGACCTGTATATATATCATCCAACTTGACAGAGAGTGCACTACTTGACAAAGAAGAATGGGTGAAAAATAACTTTCAGCTGCAATAGCTGCCAAAGATGCTTCCACCAAGTACTGACTCAGGGGAGTTAATACTTAAAATCGACATACTGTATTTTAGTTTTGGATTTTGTCACTGGACATTTTTCGTACATTGAAGTATTCAGATTGAGATCTCAAGTTCTGATTTCACTTTAAAACATATCCATACTGTACTGTACTGTACTTCACTTGGAATTCTTGAAAATGAGGCATTATTGAAAGGAAGTGAATACTTTTTCAAGGTAATATGTGTTTTCAGGAAAACAATGTATTTTGAATATTGATTCCATGTTTTTGGTATCCTTTTGATTAACTGACCACCCATTAGTAATAGTGATATGCTTAAGCAACTTTTACATACTGTGACTGTTGCATAAGCACTAATTCACCTCATTAGTGAGAGAGATGATTGGGCACAGATGATGAGCTGATTTAATGTGTTGGATGTCAAACCTGGAGAAAATTAAGAGATAAAAATGACCAATATGCCCCTTTAAACAAGAGAACTACACCTTTATGCCATCAGTATTTTAAAGTCTGGACTTACAGCACTGTTGCTGTCCATCTGGGGGCTTTACAGCCAGACTCAGTCTTTCAGCATTGAGCCATCTTCAGGGTACCTCAGTTCTCAACACCTCTCCAAGATCAAAGGGGATGACCAAGTCTGATGGTCTGGACAGGAGTGTCTTGTCACTGCAAAACAGCATTCGTATTAATCAATGGTAACCAGACAGCATAGCTATACATTATTCAAGTCCTCACTTGCTCCCCTTCCTGTGTACTGCTCATGACGTGACAACATTCCAGCAGATCAACACTTGTTCGCATACTGCTCATGTATCAGTGGATGTCAGAGTTGAACCCTATCTGAAGGGTGACCTGGGATGACAGGTGGCATGTTCGTAGCACTCTGAGACCAGTGAAAACACAGTATCCCACATAACAGCACCTGCAAAATGGTGCAAAGCATGCGTTGTTCCTGATGTACAGTACAGCTTGTATTGGTTTCAATCATCTACTAACGTACAGTATATGTACTTGTAGTTCTTTCACAATAGAGCCCCAGTTGATTAATCCTGTTGATGACAAAACTTAGTCAGTACAATTAATTTACAGTACCTAGATCCTGTGTGTTAAGTAAAAATAAAATGAACCTTTTACAAAAATATGTAATTTTTCATTCTAAGAGTTACTGTAAGTTTGTTTTGGTGCTCATTATAGCTATATTTTAAAAAAGTTAAAATCTTTAGGTTGTTCCATCTCTCAGTGTTGTAAAAAGCAAGAGCTGATTGACATGAATCTCCATAATTCAGAGTGACTGAATTTAGATGTAAATCTAAAAAATGTAGACATATTGATTTGTTGGCCTTCAGCATCAATGAAATTTTACAGGATAGCACAGTTCAAACTTTAAAAGGTCCACGCATAGAGCCGAATTGACACTCAAGTCTTAGATGATTCGTAGATATATTTTATCATCCTTCTTCAAGATGGAAATACTCTGTTACACAAGAAAAATTACATTGGATTGAAAGCAAAGATGTATTTTGTAGAATCATCAGCCTAAAACAGGGTTTTTCTTGATGTGCAGTTTGCACTATTGGGTTGGATAAGTTCCTACCTCTTTGTCCAGTGACGATACAGTACATACAGTAACTCCCCCTCAATGGGGCATGCTTTACAAAGTACAGTACAGAGTGCAACATTGACCTTGGGGTTCTGTAGACTAGGAAAAGAAATACAAGGATTGACAAATTGTGTACATGGTCACAATATCCCTCCAAATTAAAAATCAACCATGATGAAATTCAGCTTTTTGACTGCCCAGAATGCATTTTACATTTATAACACTCGTTATACAGGGCGCTTACATTGATATTTGATCCCCAGTTGAACATTAAACCCAAAATTCCAAACATGGGGACAAAGGAAAAAGACCAATCTGGCAATAGTGTACTAAATTATGCTAGGAATCCTACAAAACTCAGTTTATCAAATTGAATCATGTTCAGATGTAACTGCCTTTGTGTTCTCTTTCTTCTTTTTTTCAGCATGGAATAAACCTATTACTTGTTCCTTTACTGCCTTTTCATGTTCAGGGCGTAATTAGAAATGGACATCTGGCTGCACTTAAGAACCACACATCTCCTCACACAAATCAAATTGTCTGCACTTATTTAGTGAAACCATGTTCTGCGGTGATGCCTGATTTTATTCAGACTTAGAACCTCTGGGGTTTCTTAAGCATGAAAGTTTTAAAAGCCTGTGCTACCTCAGCTAAACACGACCTTTACTTTGTCCTGAGATGTTGTGATTTCATGGTGTTAATTGAAGCCCTTCAGTCATTTTTTCAATATTCAAAAGGGAATATTTGTGTGGTTCTTCATGTTGCTTTGACATGGGAGTAAAGATCTTTGAGGGAAATAAAAATATTCATTGAGTGGAAGTGTAGTGTATGAAGATTCCCCTAAGCAGATTGATTGCGTTATCAAAACCATTGACACTTCTTGGCTGTAGCTCCTAGATTTCAGTCTTGAAGTAATTACTAAATGCTAATTACTAAGCCCTGGTGCAAACCTAACAACTTAATAATAAAATCCTCCCTTAAGACCAGAAAGAGGTACTTTAATTATCTAATTAAAAATGCTATGTAATCTAAAATACCAGCATAACCATCCTGAGGGTTTTGACAATTTCTTTTTAAAAGGGTATTATTATTGTTGTTTTTACTTTTTTACACCACAATGTGGGTTTTAGTATTCATGTTTATTCTTCTACATGTGATGTAATATGCTACACATAAATACTTAAAATTATTAGAAAATTTCTAAGAGAATAAGAGAAAGCAAAGAAATATGTTTTCATAGTTTCTTCTTCTACTGTACATGCTATTTAAAACATGTAACACTCATTATAATAATTCCATGCATCCCAAGGGATCCCAAAGCACATTACATACAGTATACAGGTGGACACCTACAGTACCTAATTTAGTGCTTGAAATGCAATACCCCTGCTTTTACAAACAAGGTAAAGGGCCTTTAATGACTATGTAGTGTAATATTATTTTGCAAGGATAGAACCTTCTACAGTATCTCCGTCACTCTCCCGAGGCCTTTATTTAGAAATTTTGATCTAGAGGAAAGATCGCCACCGACTGGTCCCCCAACACTACTTGCAGCAGTAACCTGATTTTTCCTAGAGGCCTCCATCTCAGCACTGACCAGGCTCAGCCTTGCTTAGCTTCTGAAATCTGACTGATGAATCTTAACTTTTAGAAAAGCTTTTTGAAGATGGTTTTCAGAAAGAAATCTCCCATGAATTGTGTTCTGGGGTGTTTTATGAAAGCTACTGAATTTTACAACAGCTAGATCCAAATAAATGAACATATAATATCTTATTCTGTAAAGTACATTGTGTATCCTTCAAGTTGATTTTATTACTAACTTGTGATTATGATACAGTACATTTTTAATTTCATAGTCCATCACCAGGAAACTACTAGCAACAATCAGATGAATGACAAATGTCTTGTATTTGATCAGGGCTATCCAACTGAGGTCGTAGAGGATTGTTTGTTTCTGCAGCTTTTTATTCAAATGCTTCAAGTGCTGCTGTACTTTATAGAGACATAGACCATCTGCAGAGATACCAGCACCTCTATGACTAGGATTGGACAGGCCTGTATGCTTTAAGATAAATGTGATCATTTAAAGATCTTTTCAAATATATAAACATACATATTAGTTTTAACATAATGATAGTCATTTAAATTGTGACTGCAGGGCTTGTTTAAGTATTTATATATGTTTTGAAAATTAGATTTGATATCACAGACGTTAGATTCTTTTACTTTTATTAACTACTTAAAGCAAGAATAATAATTTGTTGTACTCCCTTGTACTTACAGTATATTTCAAAAACAATATTTCAGTAATTCTGTTTCGTGGTTAGAAAACTACAGGTGGCTTATATATGGATAACTGGCACCAGAAGATATGCTTATCACAAGAGATGAAACAATTCTTGTTTACATAAGAAAAGCTTCAGACAGCTGGTGTTTGAAGTGCTGAATTCTGCTTTTGGCAAATCTACAAAAGCGACCCTGTTTTGAAGCCAGCATACCGTAGTCAGTGCTAACTATTGCTTACTGTCCTTGGTTCACCCAGCTGGTGGTACTTTCTTGCAAAGACTACAAAGACCTGAAGATGCGAATAACCATTCTGAATTGTTGCTCATTTTAAGAACAAAAACAAGCAGTAGAAAAGTGAACATTACCAGGTCTTGGCTTTGCTCCCAAGCTAGCAGAGAGCAGTTACGGTAGCTGCTAAACAGAACCTGGCTTGCAAAGTCAATGTTTACATACTATGAATGGTACTGTACATCTCTGTCCACTGGTTGAACATCACACATACAGTACAGAGGTATTGCTCTTGCGCCTCCTGGAAACCCTACAATAACAGTATTCTCAATCCTATCCAAAACAATTTAGAAACATTTTTTGAATTAATGAATTCATGAATTCTGTCCTTTCATTGGCTAGAAATGTGTGATGATTTACATGAGCTTAGTACTTAAAATATTAATACCTGACATCAAAACGCTGTCATTGTCCAGACTAGAGAGTATCAAACAGAAAGAACACAATGTGCTTAATAAATAACATCTGCCTTAACAACCACCAAACAACTAGACATGCATGTATTTATCTTTAATTCCCTTGCTCTTTGTTTACTTTCCATTCCTTAGATCTATATATTTGAAAACAACATCTACTACCAATCAGATGTTAAAAGCAATTCATTGCGGCTTACGTTATCTGGAAAAGAAGGAGTCATTTTCAATGGAATTGCAGATTGGTTGTATGAGGGTAAGTATACAGATGAAGTCCTAAAATCTTTTGAGCATGTTTCGTTAAGTCAAAACCATGTTCTAAATCTTAGGTGTTACTGACTTAAGGCAAGCTTTTAATTAGCATCCTAATGGCCCAGCATTCATCTCTCTAACCTGAAGGTGTAACCTGCACTCAGAGGATATAAGTCTGATTCTTGTGTCAATAGCCTGGACTGAAAGGCAGATGGGAAGAATCTCTGCAATTTAGCTTATCACCTGGGAAGGTCAGTATCCATGGTGACAAGGCTCAAGGACCTAATATAGAAGTGTAGATAAATACTGTATGGTAAACATCAGGAAAAGGAAAATAATGTACCAGTCTCCAAAATACCAGTCATTCCAGCTTTTCTGCTGTGAATAATGGACCTTGCTGGTTTTCAGTCATTTTTTTTCTGATACAATTAGGATTAAATACAGTACTTTAGAGAAGATTGTTACAGTACTTGTATGCCCAAAGAATTAGAACATTGTATTATTGCTCACATATGAAAAATGTCTATTGTTCAGTGATATAATTCATAAATTATTTTATACAGTATGTGATCAATTTTATTTTGTATGCAGTTAAAGTTATAAAATGTTATATTCCAGCCAATTTCCAAATGAATGTGTAAAGTAAGCTTCAGCCTCGTAGGTGGGTTGCATTATATAAATTAGGTTTTCCACAATTCTGAAGTACCCTTGAATTTTCAGTCCCAAATAAACTTGATCTTAGAAATTATGTTAATAATCCCTGGTCCTCAATAAATTTTGTCCCTGGAACTGGCTTTCAGAATACTGTTGGAGATGTTTTGATTAACATACCCTTTCAATTTCCTCTGCTTAAAGGTTAAAGAGGTTATGTGTTATCAATATAGACAAGACCTTTGTTTCTTTCATAGGGTGCTACTCCAATTGTACTTCATATCAGTAAACTATTATTTGTAATGTAAAACTTTGTTACCTGCAGTACCATCACAGAAAAAATAAAGACTCCAACATATAGTTAGAATGAAAATTAATTATAGTCTTATGCTAAAAAAAAAACTCTCAGAAGATTTTTGCTTTTTTTCTCTCTTACCTATTAAATTTCATGCTAAGTGGACATTGATAGACTCAAGACCTATTCATACTGAGATGAAAATGAAACTGCATTATGGATTGATTTTTTAAATTAAAATGTAAATTGTTCCTACCTCTCAGGGAAATGTAGGAAGAGTTATTGCTTTATTTTCTGAAAACCCACGTTAAATGTGAGTATACTACCTTTCAGGGTCATGCATTAGCAAAGAACCTTTCAACGTTTTATCCAACAGCATCCCAAGGAATTGTGTCGATTGAATTTCTGGATGCTGTGAACATATTAGCCTCTTAAGAGGAAGCAGAGAAATCCTGGAATATATAAGTATCCTGTATCTTATCTTGCATTCAAGTGATTGATTTTCACAGCTGGTGAATCAACACTGTGTAGCCTCAGAAATAATCATCCTGTTTTTTTAATGCTAACATTTATTGTTTTGCTATCATTGACAATATAACTTACAAAGCACACAATCTGTGTGAAATCAAATATTAGTTATTAATCAAAAGATTAATCTGATATCTATTTCAAATAAGTAACAATTCCAATTGTTTCCAACTGTTGCTCACAACTTTGCAGTACTTTCTAGAATTGTAAGTTAGGTAATTTAATGCTGAATTTGTCTGTATACAATTCAATAAAGTGATGGTTTTACTTTGTTTTCTTCACTTTTCGAAGGTTTTGTGCTGCAGCTCATTTTTTATAAAAATAGTAGATTATTTAATCCAAGGCAAATTCCTTCATTATTTAGGTAACTCAGACATACAGTATACTCTACTTTGTGCAAAGAAAAGCAAAACTCTTCCAATTGCAATTTCTACTGTATGTATAAAAGGAAAAAAAGATATCACTACTTTTCCAGTATGTTTGGGTATAATTTCAAGGGAACAATAAGTTAAAAATGCAACAAATTTGGTAACATATGAATGCATGAAAACAAGTAAATATAGAGTAGAGGAGTGGTTTTAATTACTGTAAATGTGATCATAATAAAGATGTTTTTCACACAAAATGCAGTGTGTATGCAGTTAATGTGAAGATGACAGAAGTACTATACTAGCCCGAGGAAGTAAATGTTAATTTTACTTTAAATAATATATGTCAATTATACTTTAATTACAGGGCTCTGTTTTTAATTAATTTATTGTGCCTCAGACTAATGCATGCTCCAGATTACACTTAATTAATCCATTATTCATTTTTAAAATATGGTTTTATTTATTTAAATACAAGTTGTTTAATGAAATGAAATGAAATGAAATTGCCCCACATAGTGGTGTCTAGAAATGTTTCAACTTCTATATTCACCTTTTCTATATGAAAAATGAAAATTACAATAATAATAGTATGTACAATTTTTATATTTAAGTAATTAAAAGATTGGGACAAGAATATACAGAATCAATTAATCTTATCCATAGTTTCTACATTTGTCATAAAATCATATTTTATCATAATGAATTTAAATACATTTTTATATGTTGCTTCAGAGCAGAATAATTACTGTATACTGTATATGGGTACATTCTAATGGCTGTAGAATAGACCATGCACAGAACACTTACAGTACTTCAGATTTCTTCATATTTGTATACTGTACATAGTTCTAGAGTTTCTCATAGATTGTTTTGTAGTGTTTCATTCTAAATCTTAGAATACTCACTTCAGGAAAATATTAAAAATATTTATTGTATTTCCTTGCTGTAGATTCACTACAACACAGTCATTCAGTACATCCAGTACATTCATTCAGTTTGCATAACATATTTTAAAGCCAGACATTTTTTTCATTGTGCTCCTGGTAATTTGGTGTTGTACAATATGTCTATAATGTATTTATTGTAAGATCTGACCTATTCTTTTTTTTTAATTTAATTTTTAAATACAAAAACACTTCTCCACTACCTTTGTCACTGAGTGAAAGGACTTATCAGTTGAATAATTCCCTCTTACATAGAGGATAAATTATAGATATTCCTCTCCACTTAAATTTTCTATCAGAATGCATAATGTTTTCAGAGTAATAATGATATAATGGAAACATCATTCATGGTCCACATAAGTATAAGTACTGTATCTGACATTCAAACCTCAGATTGCTGTACCCACACTATGGTATTATAAGGCACATTAAGGAAAATAATGCACTTGCACCCCACTGTTCATAGCTTAAGATTTAAATTAGAGTCAGATAACAAAATGTTTTGACTAGTCATATGTATGACTAGTATATTGCTACAAATACTTTGCATTGTTATGTATTCATATCAAATTATGAAGCAGGTGGGAAAAAGCTGAGATGAATGTGATCAATGTACAAGTACAAGTCAGGAATATTCTTAAATAACGTTTCTCGAAGTGGTGTGGTTTTGGAACCTGCACTGTAAGTTCAACCCATTCGCATTAAAATTCCAATTTATTTATTGCATAGCTTCTAAACAACTGCAGCAATTTAACATGTTGTTAGACTCTACATAACTAGTTCTAAATATAGACAGAATAACTGTGATGGAGATGTGCCTGATATAGAGTAAGCCATCAACAGAGCATTTACAGGTTATACAGTGGTCTGCACACAGTCCTGCATTTCATTGCCTGGGAAAATCATCTACTGCTGTAGATGATGATCTTTGTACCTTTCTGCTAGGGCACTCAGGGCTCTGCATGTGCAGTGTTTCCACTGAGTACTTTTTCCTAAGGGTGATACAATCTGAGGCTTTAAATCCCACTAGTGGTAAAGGCAATTCTTATCGCTGTAATGGAAACAGCTTATTGCATTGTGTCATTGCTTTTATTGTATATCAGTCACTTCTAAATATTATATTTTATTTTCATATTTCCCATCCAGAGTAGAAGCACAAAAGAAGACACCTGAGCCTTAAGGAAAGCCAAAACATTCAGAGTTTTCATTTCCAGGAGATGAAGCCCCATGAACAAATATTAAGCTTTGTCATTGTTTTGGTGTTACATCTGATTCATGTTTATTTGAAAAATATGTTTGCAGAGGAAATCTTGAAGTCCCATATTGCCCACTGGTGGTCCCCAGATGGAGAACGGTTGGCGTTCCTGATGATTAATGACTCCCTGGTATCTAACATGGCCCTTCCTCACTTTACGGGCAGCCTTTACCCCAGAGGAAAGCAATACCCATACCCTAAGGTAGGGAATGACTCTGCTTGATTAAAATGACCAACATGAGCATGTATCAGCTAAAATGTAGGTGCAAGTTTGTTCCAGATTAAATATTAGAATAAATAGAGTGGGGTTGGGAATTAAGGGTGTAGTTTTCCATTTTTGTCTGTGGGTGAGAGGGGTACTCTTCTATTTTGGTTGACATTGACAACTTGTGATTGCAAAGTATACTCTCTCTCTTTAAACGCATTAGGAATCATTACTCTGTTAAAATAACAGCCTCATTTTATAGATTTTCTTTCGAATGGCCTCCACAAAAACACCAACCTTGACAGTATGGCAGGCAGTAGTCAAAACAACAATAGTCAATAGTCAAAACAACTGGTAGAGTCCAGCAGGCAGGTTTCCATATTGGTGAGTTTTCATTCAAATTCAATCATTCCTTCTTTCACCATTGAAAAGTTATCTTCTATTTCCTTACAATCAATGCCCATTGTTATTTGCCACTCAACAAAAAGATGTTAGAATTTAGAAATTAGGAATTTAGAAATGAGAAAGTCACAACTCATGCATTGAGAAATATGGGTAAGTCATTAATGAGTCTGGAGTAGGTAGATGCTAAGTGCACGTGCACTTCTTATTGGTGTAGTGAGATGCATTTGGTATGAAACTGAAAGATAAAGACAATCTCTGCATGTCATTATCAATGAAGAATGGCAAAATTTGGCCTGTAAAACCTTGATTTGGCTTTTCTTTTCTCTGAAGGAACAAAATTGTCTTATTCTAACATCTTTATTGTTTTGCTTTGAGTTTGATGCCTTTTCTTAAATAATCAGTATTTTTTTTTGCAAACGGTACAGTATACTTAGATGTCATTTTAATTTACAATGTGTTACAATAGAAAAAAAAAGATTAAAATATACTGTAGATGTACTGTGTTTACTGTTACAATGAATAAACAACTAAAACCTCCTGCAGCTCTGGTCCTTTGAAAATGAATCTAGCAACGGCCTATGTTTCAGTGCCTGAATGAAAAACGAATTTAGTGCACTAAAGCCTTTATTTATACAACAGAGTTGTGAAATGTAAGTGTATGTGTTGATGGCACTGGATTGTAATGAGGTTTCCAAGGAATATTCTACTTTGATTATGAATGCTCATTAGTCATGCCTTTATCAGCTGGAGGGTATCTTATTCACTCGTACATTTTGATGTTATTTCTGAGTGTTGTGTCTGGATTGTTTTTTTTTCTATGTGCAAAAACAAACATAACACATGGAGTTGGATTATCCTTAAAAGGATACCTGTTTTCATTTTGGCAATGAGATTATGTTCTGAAAATCACCTGCTGCCAGAAACATTAAGTTTATTTTTATACAAACAGGCTGGACAAACAAACCCTACTGTTAAGCTTTATGTTGTGAATCTCTATGGACCTACGCACACTCAGGAACTGAAACCACCAGACAGCTTCAAAGCCAGGTATATCTAATCCAAGTTGTGTGTAATTAGATTAATGAATGTTTTTTCCTCACTGTATTACATATGTCGAGAGTTGAATGTGAATGACTAAGGAGATATTTTAGCATCTAGGGTATTTTTTAAAATACCTTTGCTTGTTTTATGCATTCTTAAGGAAGAAGGATGTGAAGTTACATAAATTCATAAGCATGAATGGAATGATTTTTATTTGCACATCATTACTGATATAAAATGAAAATGTTCTGTGCTTAATTAAGTCTAAATGGAACTAACAGTGTAAACCATTCATCCCTTTGATTACCGTCTTCTAGTCAACATTTAGTATTGCTTTCGATCAATTAAAACAGTAATGATAAATATCATCCCTGAAGACAGATAAGGGATTTAGTTTGGAATAACTCTTTTTACTTTATTTGTCGCAAATGTATTGCAATAATCACTAGATTTTTTTCAATACAAAATATTGCATTGTACTATAAGCTCTACGTTCTTCTTTATTGATTTCTGTGGCTTGATTGGAATGGATAGTGGTATAAATATTCAAAAGTAAGGGAAATGTGCTAAAAAGTATGTCTTGTAAAAAATAGTGCTCTGTAATCTCTGGGATTAAGAACCAAAGCTCTGGTCAAACTCTGATGATATTTGATTTGCTTCCCAGATGTTTTTACATTCTGTAGGTTAGGGTGTAGATATTTTGAAATCTATCATCTCTTCCATTTTAAAGGGTGAAAGAGCAGAACACCTGTCTGAAATGTCAATATTTTAGACCAGACTATCCAAACTGAATGTCTGATTTTAAGGTTTAGAATAGAATAGAATAGAAAGGAGGTTACGAGAGGTAAACATCTGAAAATTAGTTGAGGCAACCATTCAATTTTCAAGCTGTAAAACGAGCTGGTATCAAACAGAAATACAATCAATTTTTATCAATCAACAGAAAGAGTAGAAAAGTAGAAATGTTTTGTATCTATAATTATCTGGTAATTTTGCCGATTACACATAATTCAATTTATGTTCGAACAGAGAATATTATGTGGTGATGATGAAATGGATCAGCAGCACCAAAACTGCTGTGAGATGGTTAAATCGTCTTCAGAACATTTCGATCCTTACAGTGTGTGATACAACTGTGGGAGCCTGTTTGGAGGTGGGTGAACAAGTATGATTGCATGCTTTTCTGAAAAGACAGGTATTTCAGGCATTACTGACAGGCTTATTCTTGAAACTAAGCTCCAGTGAACTGTTCAAAATCTGTTAGGGTTTCTGCTAAGCCACCATAAAATCAAGTTTCATGCATAACATTTCTTTTCTATAATTGCAAACAAACATAGTTTTGTACAGGAGAGCATTGCAAATTACAAAGGACTATATTTGTTTTTTGTGGTGAAATGCTTTCTATTTTTTGTTGTATTTACTGTATATGTAGCTGTACATTAAAATAAGGATCTGTTGTGTGAAGCACAAAGAGCTGCAACAGAGCTTGTCAATTCAATTTGCTATGCAAATTTACAAGAAAGCTGAGTGAACTATACAGAGCTTGCAGAAATGTCTTTTAGAAATTGCTGAACTACTGGTAATCTGGCAGTAATAAATTCACTTGTTCAAGAGTGAAAACGTACAGTTGCTTGCATAGCATAATAATAATCTAATAAGCTTGTGAAGTGTTAGAGAATACCATGATTTCTGAAAGAAGTATGAAAATGTGATTCCTGTAAGGTACAAGCTTATCAACAGAAAATGCCACACAATATTATTTATATTTCGTCTATTATTTCAGAAACATGAGGAGAGATCCGAAGTCTGGCTTTCAAAACAGGTAAATGACTTATTTTAACTACAGAAGAATATTTCTGTGTAGAGGGTATTTATAAGACACTGCAGTTGTATTGCCAGGAAAACATTTCTCAATTATTTCAGCTAACATGGGCTTCATGTTACAAATAATTTTATACACTTTTAGCAATGCAAAGGAAGGCAATATTGTCCTAAATGATTCAATGATCTCAACATCTTTTTAGAACGAAGAACCAGTATTTTCAAAGGATGGCAGTAAATTCTTTTTAACTGTTCCAGTGAAGCAAGGGGGGAGAGGAGAATTCCATCACATTGCAATGTTTACAGAGCAGGTAAGGCTCAGTTTATTTGCGTGCAGAACTGCATATAAACGTACAAATCAGGTATAAAGTGTATGCTTATCTTGAAGAGACAGGTTATATACAGTACACATGTAACTCTGTGTATATGGATAGGTAGTTAGGGTTTTGTAATTGCAAGGTTGTACATTCAAATCCCACGTAAGACATTGAGACAATTATGTTGCACCCTTGAGCTTGTTTATTCACCTTATTTGTTCAAACTGTGTAAATGGGTACAATTATACTGTATTTTGCCTTTGGAATAAAGCTTCAAGCACATTCATTTTATAATTTGCTTTTCATATATTGGTTCATTCAACTGAGAGGGGCCCTTTCATTGTTTTTGTGATTAAGGGATAAAGCACAAATTACTTGACTACTCCTTTTGAAGGATCTGAAATCAGACATGACTAAGTTTACATCTGCAACTGGTGTTAACAGGTTTTGCTGTTATTGTACCGAGATTGTCATGCCTTTCACCAGTCTCCCCCACTCTGCAACAGCTGTTCTTAGCAGTCCCAGCAGAAGAAAGGTGGCCTTTTCCCATCCTTCTTGCTTTCTTTCCTTTTGTTTCCCAAAGTCTAAAACTGGAAAAACCGTTCGTCATTTAACATCAGGCAACTGGGAAGTTACCAAAATACTAGCCTATGATGAAAATAATCAGACCTTGTGAGTATATTCTTAACCTGGTAAAGAAATTAAAATGAGTACTATTTTTATTTTTTTATTTTTGTAATTATCAAATAAAAAAAACAGACCAAGAGTAATTTGTATCGCTAGACAAAGGTTTTTGTGAGCACAACATCATTTCCTGTAATTTTCTGCATAGTGAATAAATTGTTTTTAGTGTTTCACTTTTTTGTGATTTTCTTTCTCTAGATATTTCCTAAGCACTGAAGCTTCAACAATGTGGAGACATCTATACAGGTGACAGACTTTACAGAAGTTTACAGAAAAACAGATCAACCAAATTCATTGTAAACTGTGTTTTAATTGAGGTATTTGCATTATCTAACAATATAGAATTCAAGAGGATTACAAAAGTACTGTACATGTACAGATTTTGATCCGGGCTCGATTGCTTGTAATTTGTTGTAATGGAGTTAATGAAAGTTCGGGAGAACGACAGCCGCCTGACTGAGTGTGTCAGCAGCTCCTTCTGTACCTCCATAAAAACAAGAGACATTCCTTCCCGGTGTTTCCTGCTCGGTACCACCCAGCTGTCCCTCCTTCCCAAGTCCTACCTTCGTCTCCCATGTTCACCCATCCAGCCCCGCGCCATGTCTCTCTCTGGGGGGCTAGACCACCTCTCCCTGCTGGCCAGGTCCTCTCCCCTCTAGTCGAGTCCATTAAAGCCAAAGTCAAAGTTTAAGCCTCCTGAATCGATCAGCTCCATGGGAGTTGTCTGCATCTCCGGAATGTATGATTAACTCCTCCTTGTACTGCTTCTTTAACCTCCATTCCAACACTGGCAGTATATCTGACACACATGATGATGATAATAATAATCTCCTCATCCCATTTATATTCTGACATTTGCTTGTTGTAAGGGGTAATAATATACAGTACATATAACACACGTTATAATAACACATGAGTCCATGTATTATTTTGAATTTTCTTACATATAGAAAGTATGTTCTGGTGGAATACTGTATATTGTAAGGCTTTTCTTTTTTTTTGCATGTCTTGCGTGCCAAAATTATTCTGACATTCCATTGCTATGTTGAGTTGAGTGGTTGCTGTCTTAAGTTTAGTGGAAGCTAAAGCAAAGCAACATCATTTTATTTTCCTTGCAGTGTTTCTACTACTGACTTATTTCCTCGTCGCTGCTTGACCTGTGAATTTAGCAAGACAAACTGTACGTTTGTCAGTGCTGACATCAGTCCCAATAATCAGTATTTCCTCCTGCACTGCAAAGGTAGGTGGGGCTCATTTGTAAGACTCTATGTCAGATAGAAATGTCAGCGGATGTCTTTCATATACAGTATGAGAGACCCTCCTGCCAGCTTGATGTTTTCTGTCTTTGAACTGTTGGAATGCTGCTGTGTGTGAACAACACTTACATGTAACATTTACATGCCTTGTAAATTTTAATGGTTAAGTTAAATATGCAGGCAGTATAAGCAACTGACACTGTACTGTACATCGACTCACGCCTGCACTGGCAGCAATCAGACAAACCTTTGGAATATATTATTCAAAGCTGATGTGGAATTAAGTTTCATAAATTATTTGTAGGAAAGTGACATGGCATGCAACAATTATTAAACTAGTGTAATAAAATAAACTTAATTTATGATACCAATTAGTAGGTCAGTTTTATCATAAGGATTTTATTGGTACTTGTTACAAATTCAGTGTCACTTTAGATGAGGGGTAGCAAATCGCACTTATACTGTAAATGTCCTATAAATTAATTACATTACAAAATATTAACAGTGACATAAGTGTAATAATAAAGAACACCTACTGTAGATCATAGTGACAAAACCCTAATCCTGGATCATGCCTCTGTCTTTTGATGTATGCAATTATTTGTTTATATTAAGTGTTAATCACATCATCAATTATTAAGAATAGTGACCTACTGAAGTGTGACACATCGTTCTAGGCCATGTCTCTGACCAGTTCTTACCTTTGTTTTCAATCAAATCAGTCAGATATAGAGTCAAATATACTGTTATGAGTTATAATATAGTTATATGCTGCTCAATTAGATGCATTGTGCACATTATAATGATATTGATAATTTTATGAAAACATTTATTTTACTGTAGATGTAACTCTACAGTAGTATACTGTTTGGTAAATTGTTTTTGTAGGTTTTTAACTGTGAATCTACACTGATATATTTTATAATCTATATTATCAGGATGCAATTGCTAGTGTTTTTCATATCATTCAATCATTTATTTAATCTTTAGTCATATTGTTACTACCTAAATGCTTAAATTATTGTCTATAAGTGTATATAGTGGAACAGAGACTTTCCTTGAGGAAGGCAAAGTTTGATACATCAGTTTGGCAGTTTACTGCTTTGAGGAGATGTACTGTATGTGTGTTTAAAAATTAGATTTGGGTACCATCCTTAGCGCTGAAAGCAAAAAAAATACCCCCCCATTCCAAACAATAAGATGGTACAGTATGTAGTACTATCTGAGAGAAATATCCAAGTAATTTTGTTCTGAAAACAACCATGTACAGTACTGTAAATTTATCCCTTAAATTCAATCTACTGGATAAGACATTTCTGCATAAAATAGACATTATGCACCATTTTTAATAAACCATAGAAACGTCTCCAAAAAACGTTTTCAATATTTGAACATAGGATAATCTTAATTAAATTTTATTTACAAAGAATCAAGTAAAGACCTTAAAGTTATGAAATCTAGGCTTGATGTTGTGGCATTGCTGTACAGTAGACTAGCTTGTTAAAACTGTGTTTTTTATTGTTCATTCTCCAAACAGAACTGCATTTAGTTTGAGAAACTGAAAAGTCCACTTATGCCATAACAAAACACAAGCAAAGGGGTCACATGCAACATAACAGTGATTCATGCTCTTCAATGCTTTGTACAAGATTTGTGGATTTATGTGGGCTGCTCATACAGAGGCACATTTTTGGCTTTCTACGTAACCACTTACAAACTCAGGCTTGCAGTGCATCCTGTTGTAATTTGGTATGCTTAGGAACACATGTACACATGTACCTCACTTCTAGCGGCTGGAACTCTCCTGGATGCTATGTTTTGTAGCTCCTTCTTCTGAATTTTGGGTTCTTATATCTGCAAACCATGTCGTTTTACGGCGATTAAATGAAATGGGGGAATTAAATACATTGCTTTTGTTCTAATCACTCTAAAGAAATAAATAATACAGTACATCTTGTTGCATAACGTTTTCTCTTTTTTCCCTTTATTGATTAATCTAGGTCATGGGATACCAACAGTAACTGTACATCCTCTAAATAATCCTAAAAGTAAGTGTTGTACCCCTCCCATGTCCCCTGCACTGCGATTATCATTTTTAGATGGGCTGATTTTCGTAAATCTAAGTATTTAAACACATGCTGTACCTGTTATCTCATGCAAAATTGATTAATTAGAAGAAAATCAGGTCACAGCATTTAGTTATATATCTGAATGTTGGTGTAGTTTTCTAAATGTTAAAAATGTCACATTAACGCTAAATTAACATTTACACTAAATGAAATGGAATTTTTGAAAGGTCATTTTAACAGCACTTGCTAGATGGGTGGTGGTGGCCTCCTTTCAGTTATAAATCTTTCTTCCTTTATGCCCCTGCATCAGCTAGGTACTCTATGGCAGGTATGACTTTATGAAATTATTGATTTCTTTTTTTCTCCATGAAGAAGGGCTGGCTTTCCGTAATTACGTTTTTGATGGAGTCAGAACAGAATCCTTGTTCCACGTAAATCTTATAAAAGTTTGCCTTCTTTCGTACAGATAACTACATATTGGAGGATAACACTTTACTGAGAAGAGTGGTAAAAGAAAAAAGAATTCAAAAGACGGAATTCAAGGCTGTTTCCATTGACGGCTTTGGTAATCGAATATAATTTATATATATTTTTCTATTTCACATGGTTCCTGTGCATTTTTCTCACAATTTCCTGACTTCTTTTCATATTTAGAGCTGCCACTGAAAGTATCCTATCCAGTTGACTTCTCTGAATCAAAGCAGTATGGCTTGCTCTTGATTGTGTAGGTATTTTCTTTCTTATTAACTTTATTATTGGACTGCGTGAAACATATTTAGGGTGGTGCATTCCATTTTATAGTATTTTGCTGTGGCTTTAGTGCATGCTCCGAGATTAAAAACCTAAAATGCAATAGTCCTCATGATCTAAAGTGTAATCCAAACAATGTACTGTATCTTCAGGCACAAAGTCACATTTTATTTTGTGTTTTACATTACATTATATGGTGCTTTTCATGACACAAGTTCCAAGGCATTCTGCACAATGTAAAATGAAGAAAATAAAATAATGGAAGCACGATTTAGACAGGAGACACAAAGAGAACATGTTATTTGTTGCTGTTTGCAGTGACGGTGCTCCTGGCAGTCAGTCTGTAAATGACAAGTTTCTCCTGGACTGGGACTCGGTGCTCGTCAGCTCTGATGGTGTGATAGTGGCTCGATTTGATGGCAGAGGCAGTGGATTTCAGGGACAGAAGATTCTGCAGCAGGTTCATCAGCGCTTAGGCCTTGTTGAGTCCGAGGATCAACTAGCAGCTCTGGGGTATGTAGGGGTGATTTTTTTCAAGTTTATTTGCTGTGTTCTTTGTAGTCCACTGATACTGCCCAAAACATTTCTGGTGTTCTCCTTCAAAATCAGACTTACTTAACGTTTTCATTAGTTTAATAAAAGTGTATTCGTTTTTTTTTTTATGTTGTAGTCAATAACATGACTGATGATCAGTTATTCTAGGTTACTGTTATATTTTAGATATTATTTTTTGTTACTTTTTGTTCGGTTTCGGATGATTTCTCAGAGGAAGTTCCAGACGTAGTTCATTTTGTTGTCTTTCTGTATTGCAGGTACTTTTTGAAACTACCTTATATTGACCCCAACCGGATTGGGATATTTGGAAAGGTGAGAAAAGGAATCTATCAAAAATAGAAATTGAATAGTATAAAACTATTTGTCCTCTGCATTATTTGAAGAAAGATGCATAGGCAGATATTCAGGAGGTTTAATTGTTGACATTATAAATGATTGTATCCACACTTCAGAGTTTAAAAAACATCATGAAAGATTGTGAAAGCATCTTCTGTCTGATCATCCTCTATATTTAAAACTTACGTTTTTACTTCAGCTATAATTGTACTGTATATTTAATAACTGTATGAATCAACATTAGTTAATCTAAGTCACCCAGCAGCTAGTGTAACTGATGACTATGCTAGTTTTTGCCACATTGTCAATGTTACCTCTTTTCCAATCAGGAGTTTTTTTTCCATTGAGTTTTGGCTAAATGGCTAAATGGGCGATGTTTTCTGATTTGAATTTTTTTATTTTATGTATAGGGTTATGGTGGATTTATTACATTAATGATGCTCAAATCATCAGAAAAACAGTTTAAATGTGCTGTAGCAATGTCTCCCATGACAGACTGGAAACTGTACGGTGAGTAAATCCATTATATTTTTAATCAATATGGCTAACTGTAGCTTAGTGAGGTAAATTACTTTTTAATTTATGTTATGTATAAATACACACATTGAACATCAAAAATGTCAGCCTGTAAGACAGATTGAGAGATATGATTTTATAGATCATACTGTAGATGTGATGCACATTGATAGATATACTGTCCTGTACATCATACTGCAGACAGAATTCCAGCACAGTCTTCTTTTTCTCACATTCATTTTTAATCTGTATCCTTTTTAATTTTAATAGCCTCAGCCTTTTCAGAGAGATACATTGGCATGCCATCAAAGGAAGAAAGTAAATACCAGGTAAATTATTTACTTGACTACCCGCTTTATCTGTTACTGGCTTGTGTTCAAGTTTCAAGCCATCAAACTTTCAGTTAAGGGATGGTGTTGATAGCTGAAAATTGCTAGAAACTAGAGGACTTCATAGGTTTTTTGAAGCTTGTTCTTATTACATATACTGCATTTGAAAAGAAACATGTTACTGTATGTCTGGAACTTTTACAAAAATAGAGGATTCAGTAAAAAAAATAAATAAAGTGGCATCATTTTGGGGATCATTTTAATTAACAGGTAATTTCTTAAAACGACCAGAGTGATAGGGATAAACCATTTAGCTATTATATAATCACCAAAATCGCAAATTGTTTTCTAATTTAAAATTACAAAAAACAAACAAAAGGATCAATGTGCTTATCTAGAAAGCAACAGCTTTGTGTTATGTTGGGAGAACACTGCAGGTAGATTCACCAGCCTTAAGTCCTCAATGGGCAGGCTGCGACTTGTGGATTCATCCCAATGTGACAAGACATTCGAGCAACAATGAAGTTCTTCAGTAGAAGCCCTACTTAACTTGAGAACCTTTCAAATTTGTGGGAAGAGCCGGAATTACTTTTAGCATTCGGAGATGAGTGAACAGACACTTTCTGTCCATTCCCTACAAGAAGATTGGGCCAGTATCACACAACATAGGATATCGAACCTGGTGCGAATTTCATTATTTGTTATATGTATTGAACTATAGCAAAACAAAATTAAATGTATCTAATTCATGCAATAACTGTATTGCATAACTGCTAAATAGCAGCAACTCACTTTGCATCTGTTACCATCATTTTGAAAATACCCTGAATGAAAAGCTTATGAAATAACTCATAACCTACAGTATACTGCGTAGGAGCCTCAAAGTTTAAAAGGAGCTGTTCCTTTTCTCTTGCATCTACAGTACATTATATAGTGCAAGTGTCTCTAGCCTTGGTCCTGGAGAGCCCCTATCCAGTTATTTTTAAAGGTCAGTCCAAATCATATGTGTTTTAAAGATTACGAATACATGTTTTAAGCAATTGATCAATAAAGCAAGTAACAGCTCAATGAAGAGATCTGGTCCCTGAGGGCTGAAATATATTAAGATTTTTGTTCCAAATGATTTTTGATCACTAAGCTAGCATACCACTTGTTTAATTATCGTAAAATTGTTCCACGTCTTCACAAATTGATGATTTCAAGGTTGCCTAATAAACCTGCTTCACAAGGACCAGGGCTGGAGTTGCCTGAAATCGTCTATTTTCATTCCAGACAGTGTGGTCTAAAGCTGTCTAACCTAGACACAGCGTCAGTGTACAGTCTATATACATCAGTCTGATCAAATTGTCTCATACAGTAAAAGCTGGTCAGGATTCCAGCTTGAAAAAGAACGTGTTAAAAATAAACATAAGCAAACCAAAGAAAATTTCTACTGAAAAAAAAAGAAAAACTCCTGTTTATTTAAAGTAAACCAACCGAGTGCACAGGGCTGCAACCAAGCTGTGCCTCTCTCAGCATCTTCTCACAACCCACCGGCACTCATCCATTGAGACCGCGCTGATCGGTCTCGCTCCAGGACCCTACACAGACTTCTTGCGGGAATGCTGTCCAGCTCTTAATCCACGATTGTCTGACTCTGACGTGCAGAACCACGTCTGTGGAGCTCACTGTCAAAATCCATTGCAGACTCTGCAAATGTTGATACTTTTAAAACTTGCTTCAAGACCAGTCTGTTTGCTACAGCTTTTAATATATCATTTGTTTGTCATCTTGGTTTTACTGGGTCGGTTGGGTAGGCTTTTTAAAACGTTTTACTTCCGTGTCTTATACAGTACATACAGTACATGTGATATTGTAACAGCCATGTGTGTCGCTTGAAAAAAGTGGATGGAATAAAATTAATTTATTAATTAATTAATAAACATTTAAGCAACATGCCATGCTATAGCAGACATCAAGATTTTTCATTATCCTAATATAAACTTGTAGGACAACACTGGTGATACACCAGGCATGACAGACTACACTGCAGGCTGGGGCTCCTGTTCTCTGCTGTGGTAAATCTGGTCTATAATAAACTAATTCCATGCATTGCTATTCAAACTTGAATATGAACTGCAGTATAGCTATAGTACACTCATGACATGTTTGAAACTTGTCTCTTTCTATCTTTATTATGAATTCTGTCAAGGTGCAGTTTTGATAAGGCTATTTATAATGTATTGCTTCTAGAAATCTGAAAAAGCATTCTTCTGCAAAAGTGTGTCGCAAAAAAGTAGGTTGTCAAATCTTTTCTCACTTCCATATGAATCCTTTGGCCCAGTTTAATCTATTTTTATTAATCCTTCTAGTGCTGATGCAAATTTAAGATGATGAGAGAATATATTTAACAACTTTGAAATTCATATCATTGAATTAGGTGAATCTGATCTCTGCTGCAATTTTGTTTTAAAGTTACTTTTTTCCATTGCAGATCATTGCCAGCTAAAAGTAGCATTTACATTTTTCTTCATATTATTACAGGCTTCAAGTGTGCTACGTAATATCCAGGGATTAAAAGAACAAAATCTCATGTTAATACATGGAACTGCAGATGGTGAGAAGATATCTTCTTAATTATTTATTATTAAGGTTCGGAAAACAAGGATAATAGAGTTAAAAAATGGACTGCCTTAGACATTTTTGCATTAACAAATAAAAGTTCAAATTCAACGTCACAAGTACAGTGTTCATACAAATAAAATGACAAAAAAATGATTTTATAAAACGTGTGCTTGTTTTCATACAGTATGTGCCATTTCAAGTAGTAATTCTATTTAGAATTTTATGTTTTAATGTATTTATTACAGCCAACATCCACTTTCAGCATACAGCAGAACTGATTAAGCATTTGATACGAGCTGGTGCTAACTACACTATGCAGGTATGTATCCCACACAATTCAATGCTCTTAAAAGGTATACAATACACAGCCTAAGGCTGAATGGGCCTCAAGAGTTCTTTGCTCTTTAACAAACTGAACCAGTTGCATTCATTAACCCTTCTTAGTAGACTACCCCTCAATTGGTGTTAAGTTTGCACTCATTCTATTATTGCTATCATTATTGCAGTATTATCTAAATAATACTAAATTCTAATCTAAATACCACAAAATATTAAATACTTTAATAAATAAATATATTCATAGAAAAATCTCATGCTGAGGGCTGTAAAATATAGTACACCTACAGTACAGTGTACAGTAGATATTGAATATATGTTTGGGTAGTCAAGTCCTTTTGCATTAGTCAAACAATTGGCAAATGATCATCCTGTAGATGACATAGGATACACGAGCTACAGTATCTGCTATGCGTATGTCTGTCCTTTCTACAGAACCTGAATCTTTGTCTGTGTCATTGCTACAGAAACTGAGTACTTTGTAGTAAGCAGAGATGAATAGTCTTCAGATATGTCATCATTCACCACTGATTTGTTTGTCAGGTTTTTTGTTGTTTTGGTCACCTTTTCTGTTTCAACAGATTTATCCAGACGAAGGACATTTTGTGTCAGAGAAGAGCAGACAGCACCTCTACCGTACACTCATCACCCTCTTTCGAGAGTGTCTCAAAGAAGACACACTGCTATTACCAGAGGAGCCAGAAGAGGATGAATAGGTGAAGAGGCCATTGGAAGGACTTTATAATTTATTTCTGTAATGACTACTGGAGCCTTGAAGGCTCTGAACCGAGCATTAGCTAGAAATGACTGCTGGAGTCAAGGAGCTACTGGGGCTCAAGGACAGACAAAGGATTTCTCTCAATGGGACAGCACAGTAAAAGTTATTCGGCAAACAATCTGGATCTCACAGATCATGTTCAACTTAATCTTCTGTTTAGAAATCTCTTTTTGAAGGGCACCGGTCTGCTTTTCTTCCCATGAGACTTGAGTTTTACATACACAATTAAGTGCATGATTATTTTGTTTAGCCTCATCACTTTTCCATGTAAATATCTGTTGTTGTAGCACCTTGCATCAAACATGTACCATTTTACCCTTTTGTATAAATGCACAATGAAATGCTACACCTACCTGTGATGTCAGAAATGCAAATTCAACGTTACTGTGACACTGAAGAATAAGTGCAATTCCTTCACAACCCGTTCTCATGTTCACCCAATAAAGATACAGTATTTTGTATAATACTCCAGAGTGTGTACATATGTAAATATTTTTGAGATATGTACCATCCAATGGTTCCCACACTCAGACGTATTTATCACAGACATGTACAGTACCTTTCTTTTTCTTAGGATGTTTTTTGTAATGCTTGTTCATTTTTTTCTCTTTTAGTGTTTTATAAGGGAAGGCAGTTGTGCGTGGCAGTGGATGTTATTGTCTTCTGAGGTATTCTTATGAATAAATAAACCTTACTAACAATGTGAAAGGAATGGTGCCAAAATCAATACAACCTTGTACTCTACTTCATCAGTCACATGCAGGCAATCAAAAGAGGAATCTGTCTATAAACATTAAAATTCACTAGCCAACCCATTACAAGAAATGAAATAGCAAATGGACACAGGTTGATGAGATTGCTTCAGTAAACGCAAAATCTTTTACTGGTTTGTCATGATTTTCACCTCCTGAGCTTACGTCTTGGACAAATGGAAAGCATTTATTCCTGATAATTTTCTCAGAAATGACAAGTGGCAGGCAATTTGCTTTGGTTGTTTCTCTGGTCTCTGCCAAAGTATAAAAGTATCTCTGTGTGCACATATTGCATAAAAAACCCACATGGGTTCATTTGATGCAAACAGAGTAAAAAATAAATAATACCATAACACCTAGCATGCAAGAATCAATTATATCAATTTACTAATAGAACACTGCCCACGTTAATTACAAATGGGCCTTGTCCTGAATCACACCACTCTCCCAATTTACTTAAATAGCCCCCAGCATCCTGATCTGATCCACCAGAAATATAAGGACCTTTTAAGAACAGTGTGAATACATAAAAATGCATTGTAAGCATGACAGTGACAATGTACAGTATGCAGCCAATCAAATGGTTCATTCTCGTGATCTGCTGATCTTCCACTTTAACATGGGAAAAGTCATCAGCTGCTAATGTGATGCGCACGTCTGTGATTCCCCATCAGAGAAAACAAAGCTGGAGTAAGGTTAATGCTTTGGCTGTAAAAGGGACATTCCTGTACATGACTGGTCTGTCACGGAGTCTGTGCTGATCTCTGTGCTTCCCAAGTCCAGGCTTTGAGGCAGAAACTGCAGCTCCTCACCATCATTTTTTTGAGGCAAGAGCTTCTCAATTCACTCACCTCGAAATAGCTGCAGCACAGTACATGTGGGTTCAAGAGGTTTAGGACTTATAGACATGTGGCTTAGTTTCACAGTGCAAAAAGCCATGGTGATCTGATACATTGTAAATAGTGAATTTAACCAACAGCAACACAGCAAATGATTATGATTATTGTAGGCCTCAGACACTAATGGATAGATTATATGTGTTTTTTCTTCATAGACAACAACTGAGATCTTGCATACTTTCCAACTTCAAATCGCTTTATCCAATAGAGGGCTGTAGAGGAGCCAGAGCCTGTCCTGGCAAGCGATGGGCTCGACGTGGAACAGGCGTTGGATGGGATGCCAGCCCATTGCAGGGCACACATACTCACATGACCAATTTTTCGAGAAGCCAATTAACCGACCGGTATATCTTTGGACTGTGGGAGAAAGGTGGAGCACCCGGAAGAGACCCATGCGTGACCATGGAGAGATCAGAAATTAAACCAAGGGCCCCTGCACTGCGAGACAGCAAGGCTAACCACCGGGCGACTGCGCAGTCCTGGTATATTCATTTAAATACTCTTTATATAAATATCGAATTTCACCCAGTCTTTCATACTGTATGAAATAGAAAGACCATAGCCTCAGGGATGCTGCAAATCATAACTTCTTGAAGTTCCCAGATCAAATCCTAACAAAAACATGTGTTTACCTGGCTACTGTACCTCCTCCACCAGTAAATGTCCTTAGTCGTTGTATGACTATCAGGTTGAGCCCTATGGACCTTGCTGCTGGTTCAAGCCTAGTTGACTATGACACTAGCCATTCCTTTCGGGGAGAGAGGGAGCATTAGCTGCCCAGAATCCTCTTGTTCTTTATCTGAATAATGACACCTGCAATTTTAAGTCAGATGTCTGGAAGGTTGCAGTGATGTCAGCAAGAAGCACACTCTTCCTCCTGTCAGCACTCACTTTCCTGTACGGCAGCATGGAATGTGTTCTAGATCATAATCTGAATCTTAAACAACTGGAAATCCCAAATCACGTAGGTAAATAATAGTCGTTACAACACAAAGAATGAAGAAACTACTGTATACCCTCATGTTTTATTGTTTCAAGAATGCCAAAACATTTAAAAAATGCTATGTTTATTAATGTAGTACCAAACTATAACATTCTCAACATGCTAAAGTCCCAACACAGAAATACTGTAGAAGATAGAAACAATTTGGAAATAACAGATGTTGCTGTGATTCTTTCATAATACAATTGGAAATGCATAAAGATAGAAGTCATAATACATGTAAAAAAACAGTGCACATCTAGAAATAATAACTGGTAGTTTTCAGAAGACAATGTATAGTCCTGACTTGTCCTGACAATGTAAATTCTAGCAGAATTGTCTATAATACACCCTTAGCTTCAAAGACAATTACTGTATAAAGTTTTAACATCTTAAATTTAAGTCATCTCGGTCAAAACAGGTAAAATGTGGACAGGGACAGTTTTGCACTAAAACAGAAAAAATCATAAATACTTGACGATAATCTAAATGATAAAACTGCAGACATAGACATACAGTTGTTGCTTGATGTTGTTGTATATTACTAACTGGTAATTTCAAACATCTTTTGAAAAATGCAGTGCAAGGTGACAGCATAGTTTTATTATCAATAACTGTTTAAAATACAGTATATTTCATAATTCTATGTGATGTAGCAAAAAGAAGTTGGAAACAATTCTGAAATAACAGACGATGCCGTGATTCTTTCATAATAAAACCATAAATGCATGAAGCTAGAGTACAGTACATAATACATGTGCAAACAGTGCACAACTAAAATAACCTACAGGGAATGTAAATTTTCACAGAAGCTTTTATACAGAAAGAATATCTAAAGTCTTAACTATAACAATTTTGTGACAATGCCATGCTTGTTAAAAGCCCTCTACATGGGCTACAGAATACAAAGGGCTCTAAATGGGCTTCTTGTGGAAGCCATGGTACTGATATGCTTGAAAATATGTAATAAAAGTATGAGGAATATGTGACAGAACTGTTGTTTCAGATTATCACAGGGATAGTTTTTGTGGTTGTTACAGGTATGTGCAGAACAGAATCGAAAACAAAATATTTTCTCTCTGCCATATTGCTTTCTTTGATGTGTGTTTTTTTTCTATTTTTACATGATATATATTTATAGTCTAATGCAATCTCATATAAAATACACAAAGTTTTTTTTATTATTCTGTGGAGTAATGGTTTTTAAATGACAACAGACCCACTGGATATTTCTGTTACAGGTTTAGAATCACTTAGTGAGTATTTCCTTCATGGAGGTAGTCTGAGTCTCTGGTGAAGAGACCATTATGTGCCCCCTGTCATTTATGGATGAAATTTGCTATCCCTGGGTTTTTAAAGCTGCTCTCCCAAGGACAAATGAGAAACACTGATTCAAGAAGGTCTTTATCTGTGCTAGCCAGCCGAGGCTCTTAAATTGACTCCCCACTAATGCCTTCATTCCATCAGCCGTTGGTAGGGACTTCAAAGTGATGTGAATGACACACATTCTTTTCCCCCAAATCTAGATTTCTATTGCTGCTTTGGGCTCAGATCCTAACAGATCTTTTTTTTAAGATTAAGAACAGAGATACAGTATAGATGGCCAGGAATTATCCAGGAAAGTGCTAAAACTCAAACATCACAATTGCTTTGAATGTGATGAGTTGATCAAGTCATACTTTGTCGAATGGTTGAGGCAGAGTAGTTCAATTTGAACTCATAGGCTTCAGCAAATGGAAACTCTCAACTGAAGCATGGGAGGTATGATACAGAAGCCACAGCTGTTCTAAATCATAATCATCCGCAATGTAATTTCTCCAGAACTATATACAGGTACAGTAGATCATACACAAATCCCTCTCTTTTTGCATTTTGTCTCATGCATCCCCCCTCTACCCCATCACCTCTTGTGTTGCTGTACCTCATTACACCTACAGTAAATACTCAATAAATATAAAAAACACATCTAATTCTTGGATGTCCTTATTGCTTGTGTAATACAGATGGGACTAGGGCTGGCAGGTCCTAAAGTAATTATAACGATACATTTTATTTAACATAGCTCAAATGTATGAATAAGAAGCAGCAGTTTATATAGGGGGCTTTGAAAAAAAATAATGCATTAATAATTCTATGAATTGAAGCACACAGAACAATATACGCTCACTTGCAGCAATATTCAGCTGCTGGAAGTTTCCAAAGTGTAGTACCCGCTGAGACATACCGAGTCATTAGCCTGACTTCAAACAGCCTTACCTGAAAGACTTCAAAGGTTTTATAATCACTTTCATTTATTGTACTTTTGTTAAATTTGTGGTGCTGGAGAGTTTTGGACAATCAAATGGGACCTCTCTTCTTCCAGTAGACAACAATCACTAAGACCAGTGACTACAAACTGCCTATCCAAGAAGACTGGCCCAAAATTATTCATGTCCTTTGAGATCAGCACTCATAAGCAATCTTCTGAAAAATGAATGCAATATCTGAAAATACACTACAAAATATGATATATAGTGAAGGAAACCTGAGTAAATTAGATCTCCTTTTCATTGAAGATGTGCATTATGAAGACTGATTAATATACAGTATACTGTATATGTGATATATAGTTCATCAGATATCCTTGTATGTACAGTATCTGATCGTATTGTAGTTATTTCATTTTTAGATAATTAATAATTGTTTATTGCTTAATTTGGTTTTACGTACTGATGTTTAAGGCAATGCGAAAATATTCTTCAGCATCTATAAATTTGACAAACTTCAGCTTGGAATAGATTAAATATTTTATTAAAAACTGAATTTTACTTTCAGTAGTCTCGTTTGTATTCTGCAGTGGAACCCCATAGAGAGAGGACTTCATGAGGCAAGCTGTTGTTTGAAGAAAGAAATTAGAATGTTATTGATAAGGTGTTGAAACAACTGTATACTGTACACGTAGATGAAAAAAAGTGAAATATTACAGAATTTGTTTTATAGAAATATGCTTTTGCTCTGTAAAAGACAGACAGCAAACTATTTTTTATTGCTGTCTTGAAATTTCTGTACAACTTCCTGAGTTTGTGATTCAACCAAAATCATTTTAATTTCCAAGTATAAATAAAAATGCTACAGGCAAGATTATGAATATTAGGATTATTATAGGTTGTTATAATCTAGATGATGTCCTTAATACTGTAAATATTATACATGTTTTAAAATAAATGTTCTAATATAACCAAAACTTTCAGACCTGATAAAAAAACTCAGTAATTTTATTATTTTCAAATTGTCAAATTTCTTAAAAATATTTTGTGAGGACTGGATAAAAGCACAGCAAAGAAATATTTCATAAATTACTGTACAACCAATATATACTGATATTAGGATTAAGATAAACATTAACAACCAAAATTTATTTTTCGGAAAAAAAAACATTTATACAAACAAAATACCCACCTTCATCAGCCATCTTCTGCAATTAACATATAACAAAGAATGAAATACAGTGTATTTTTAAAGGAAATAATTAATTCTGGATTTATAGGGATAACAAAATTGGTAGGTCTGGCCATTTAAACAACTCAGAACTGCCTAAACTTGTAATTCTACTTTTGCTTCTATAAAGTTTAATATACAGTACATGTGCAGACAGATGCATGAAAGTAATGCATATTGTCTGTGTAGATACATGTTCAGGGCCTACTGTATCATGAGATACAACTGATCATCATTTTAAAGTTCTTATTTACCAAGTCTTCTCTCGATTCACACTTTTCACACTTTCCGGAAGTGGCAATCCTACACTAGTCATCGTCTTCCTGTTCAGGTATTATTTGGGAGTCTTCATAAAAACATTCCCTGAAAAACGTCATCACTGTTCTGTAGTGGTAATATCTGCTCTTTGATGAAGTAATGTCATGCCCTTCGTCAGGATATATCTGGAAGAAATAGAGGCAAACTGAAACTACAAAGTGCAAGACATTTATTTGCGTTGTATCCATGGAATTCCTAGATTTTAGGCCAACTGTTGAATAGTAGTATTGGTAACGTAGTAAGAGAGTGTGACTGGAATTAGGAAATTTGTTTCTAACAATCTGGAAATGATGATTAACCACTGTGAAAGTTTTTAAAGAAAATTAGAATAAGCTTTGTGTTACTTTACTGGATCCAATGACTTCCACAGACGGGAAAACGTGTGAACCATCAACAAAGAAATGCTGAGAAATTCTCATTCATCCAGCTATTTTAATCAAGGATTTGACTAGTTCTTAATAAAAGCCTTATAAAACTAGCATGACTCTTGCTAAGAAATCTAATTCGTAGAAACTCAAGATGTAGGCACTGCTGATGTAAAAATATCTGACTTTTCCCTAAGAAAATGTCACATTTTCACTGATGTTTGTTGTGAAGTGCCCTAATTTGTTTGTCTTTTTTAATTAATTGGAGTCAACAGTTTTCATGAGGGTCTTAGCTGAAGCTGAACAGTATTTTATAAATTTGTGTTGGTTTAATCTTTTTGCTAATTATAGTTGCATCTGCATATTTTTAAAGAACAGGCGGAAGAGTAGGATGTGGTAAAATGGTGATATTTGTTTTGGAAGCTATTTTTTCTATTAGGGAGAGGTAATTTGAAGAGAACACATACTGTATGTACAACTGTAAGATATCAGCTACAAAATATACTAAAATAACTATGTTCAATACTTTTGCATCCAGCATAACCATAAGAAAATGCAGAGTTGATTTTTTTTAATCCTATGGTTTGTCTGATATGTATCCCTAATTCTTCAAACATTAGAACAGTACAGTAACTCATTAAGGATATATTAGCATTATTATTATTATTAGATATTATTTCAAATTTATCATATATTCTTTATTTCTTCAAAAGCTGTTGAATAGATTTAGAAAAAAACATCTGCTCAAAAACAATTTAAAATATTTACTTACAGTACATGGTAGTGTTAACCACCCTACCTTTAACATGTAGTTTACATTAGATTGTGCTAAACGTTTCACCAGTTCAGCTGTGTGCTGGAAATGAACATTTGCTGCAATACAAGATAATGATATAAGTAAGACCAGCTTAATCGCTTACACAATATAGGTGACAAACACATCGTTCAGCGAGACCGTCATACTGCACATGATTTGTGCTACTGTCAATTAGTTATACAGCAAAAAAGAATGATGGATTGGAAGTCTCCAGTCCTAGCTCTTCCAGAATAGCCTGGTTACAAACATTCAACCCAAACACCAAATAAAAGAAAAACACGAGACACTGGGAGACTTACTAAAATACCAATAGTGATTAGGTTTTGCAGAAAACTCACTAATTAATCATACATCTTTTAAACTCTAATTATACATCTCTCTAAACTAAAGCAACAAGAATGAGTTTTAGAGAAATTCAGCAGCTGATAAAATTTGCTTTACGTATAGCCCAAAATCTGACAGAATTAATTACATATCCTCACCGGTAGGTCAAATAACTAAAACTTAGACTTTGAATGCATACACTGCAAAGAAACATACTTACAATCAGCAGTTCCATGTATAATAAGGAATTTGTGATGCGTTGATCCCGTCATATTATGCAGAATACCACAAGCCTGTAAAAATGTCAGATTATGTTGCTTTAAGTTCTTTAACGGTAATAATGCTATTTCCTCTCATTTATATAGTTCTTTTCCTGAAGGGTTCTAAAGTGCTTTACCTAAAGGAGGAGACCTATTCAGCTATCGACCCAGTGCAGATGGACAGCTGGGTAGAGAAGTGAGAAATTGTTGCACCAGTTGAATGAAGGGGGAAATTTAGGAAGGGCAGACTGCACAAGCCCTTAGTGGAATTTAGCCAAGACACTAGGTCTTTAATGACCAGGAAGCCAATACCTTAAACTAAATTTTCCTCCCAAGAATAGCACCTCCTACATTAGACTGTCGCAGGTTATTTTCAGTCCAGTTGCAAAGAATATAGATGCACTGTACTATAGCCAATTCGAATGCGCAGTAAAACCCTGTCACACGGGATTGGGGCTGCAGGTTAACGTGGCATGGGATCCACTGGCCAAAGATTATTGACAGGCGGCACTCGTGCTGCATTAGTTGCTAGTGAACGATTGCTTCATTTAATCTCTGTACTGTGCAGGTTTAAATCTGCTTAATAGGGAATATAATATGGAATCACGTAAGTAAAGTAATTAATAACTATATTAATTTAAGGATCTAAATTTAATATATGTTTTTGTGCTGTGCTATTGTTCCTTTGCCTCAAGAGAAGTACAAAAAAAACGGTATAGTTCAAAGATCTTTAAAACAACTGTATTAAGTCTTACTTGATATATACGGCCATTCTCTGAAGGAAACCCAAGGTATCGTTCTGTGAATGCAGAAGCTTAAAAAAAGATATACAATATTAATTGAGAATTGTGTAAAAATAAAGAAAACTGCTAAGCAGAAACAATTCTTTAAAGACGGTATAGTAGCTTCAAGCAGATGATAAATACTCCCCTTTTAACCTCTTCAGAAATAATTTAAAAATCCATTAGTTATTCTCAAGAAGATGCTGCTCATACTTTTTGAACGATGTTCTATAAATAACTATTTTGCCTACATAGATGATCCCAAAATAATATTTACATGCTCTGCTAGAGAGCACTGGCTAAATTGTGATATGCCTTCGGCTGCTACTGTCAGTTAGGCTTCTTTGTGTTGAAGATGATTCTCCAACCTTATACGACATGCACTCCTGTCTGTTTTCGGCCTATCCAGACACCAGCTGCCCTGACCTTTCCTGGCAGACTTCCCAAGTTATTGCTAGAAGATTCCCGTAGGGAGTTAACAGTGCTTTCACATTTTCCCAGCACATCTTCTGAATGTGCTTCTTTGATTTTATAACACAACATGATTGCATCTGCGCATTTCTAATGGAACATGTACCTGCTGGTTGTGATGGACATTCCACTAGATCAATGAAACCAAAGAGACTAGTAAAGGCCCTGTAAAAAGCATAGGGTCTATCAAATCTTCACTCAGCTCTTCTCTTCAATCACAGGGCATCACTTAAATTAAACATCCAGCGTATCTCTTCAAATACTTTCTAACAGTCAAGCTTCAGCTGAGACTAGGAGAATATCTTCCTTGAACAGTGGTATTCCCCATTTTGTGGATTCTGAGTGGGAGAATAAGTGTTCTCTCTCAATGTTGGTGAGTACTATTATCTTTCATGACTACGAAGGAGTAAGAACCTACTGTACTATAATATGGATAGTAAATCATCTAGCAATTCAGGTGACACAGAAACAAAATATCAGTTTCATACCATACCGTGTAACAATACTGTAAATGACAGTACACAACTAGGTTCAAATCTTTAAGTGGCTCAGCGTGTTCAAAGTGACCCTTATTCTGAGGTTTATTGTAATTTCTGTTGAAACAAGAGCGCTCACTCTGAAGAAGAAAAAATGCTCTTGCATACTTTGAATGGTCTTCAATACACTTTCTCTATTGAACCTAAATGTAAATTATGCTTCCACGGTCAACATTTCGATCCAAAGCAAACCTTTACTGTATGCTAATGACATGTCACTATTGATCATTTGTACCAGGTCCTGGTAATGCAAAATTTATATTTCAATATGTAGAGTATTGTCAAGGTGATTTGCTCTGTAAGCAGCATTCATTTCTTTCACCAAACACTCTAGCTCATTCTTTAGAGCAGTATTAAAATTATAGTTGCATATAACATATATAAATCCATATAACAGCACACTTTAAATGCCTTACCATATAATCGCCAGTCAGTCACAGGAGCTACTGCTACCCCACATCTGAAAATTGTGTCATAAGAAAGAAGCAGCAGAGATGTCAGGAAGCCTCCGTACGCCTAAGGTAAACAAAGGGATGTGTGCTATGTAATGGGAAAATGAGCACTTCCAACATCATGTAAGACCTAAAGTTCAATTCATAATCTTCCTACACCCTTCACTTTCCCTCAGTGCAAAAGCCTTCTTAAACACACTTACCTGTACACGATGTTTGCTTCTGCAAAGGCAAATTTAGTATTTCATACTATACAGCGCTGTTAGTGACACTTACTTTTATATACAGTTATTACAGACAAAATGGAAAGAACTAAATGCAACCTACCTCGAATTAGAATTTACAAAGAGTTGTGTTTTATTTTTTTTCCCTTACCTTCCCAAAAACTCCAATTCTTCTCTGGTCTATGTAGGGCAGCTTTATTAAAGCCCTAAAAGAAAAGGTAGATTACTGTAAATGCACTAAAAACATCTGTTGTCTATCCCCTCTTTTCTTTTTTTTTATTGGGATAAAAGTAGGCTTCTGCAGTCATGTAAACATTAATTGCTTAACAACCAGTGATATATTTGCTTTTTGTTTCTATTTATTTGCAATTAATTCAAATGAGGAATTATATGGCATTTAGTTCAAAGCAGACCCTGCTAATCTGCTTTCTAACAAAAACAATACACTCTGATATAACAGGCCAATTCACTACCCTGATATCTTAATTTTAAATTGCTAGTATATCATATACCAGTGTTTAATAACACCACAGCTACCTGTAGAAAACAGGCATAATCTCATTTTAGAAATTATAAGACTCAGGCACAGCTATATATTGACTTACTGTCTTTATTATTGACTATGACAGCAAAGTCACTCAGCACAGTATCTTGCATGTACATGGAAAACTGTTTATATTTTTGTTTTTTGCTTTTTATCTCGGTGTCGAAAAACTTCTATCCAAAGGGTGAACAGCAGGAGTTCATTATATGCTACAAAGCAGATCTGAAATATTTTTTGTGCATGGAATGGACAAAAAACTGGATGGAATTGTGCCTTATACAGTACATACTGTACAGTTAGAAAAGCACAGACATTAATAATATGATCTTCATTTCAAATCAGACAATGATTGGAATGTTATTCTGTCGACACTGAACACACATCCATTTGTTTTGAGACTTGAGTAGGATTTTTATCGCCTGTCTCCAACATATGATCATAACCTGTTTTGCTACCTGGCCTGATATAGTCTACCACATGTCAAATATACTGTATGAAAAGGTAGTGAATCAACACTCTCAACTATCAATTTCATTTACATAGCAAATGCTTCTTAATTCCTAAACAAAATTTTACAATCCGTACTCTATAGCTGCTTTTTGATCCTGTACTTCAAGGGTTCCTAAGCGCTGATGAACCTGCTGCAGAATCTTCTGTCCCTGAAATCCACTGCCTCTGCCATCAAATCGAGCCACTATCACACCATCAGAGCTGACGAGCACCGAGTCCCAGTCCAGGAGAAACTTGTCATTTACAGACTGACTGCCAGGAGCACCGTCACTGCAAACAGCAACATGCATGTTATGCACATATTGGTATCAGCGAGACCTTTCATATACAGTACTGTATGTGCATGGGTGTCAATGAATATGGACATGGAGAAAAAAGGATGGGAACGCTGTCCCCACAATAATAGTAACTCCAGCCAAACAGATGTGCAGATATTTTCACAGCACAAATGACTTTTTATCGTAACCTATCCTGTGTGTGCATTTTCTTTTTTGCAACTTTCTCCACTGTCACATGGTTCAGCTTGCTGCTCAGGCGTGTTTTCGAATTTGCCAACACTTTGCTCATCAGATAGGATAAGATTCAGTAAATCACCGGTATTTGCTGGTCCACAGAGTTGTGATTAGCCTCACAGATAACCGCCAAACAATGAGCTAACGGAGACAGAACCTTGGTTTGGTTTGACCGTGGTCAGGAGTTTTGAGCTGCTGCTGAGGCAGTGAGGCTTCCTTAAAGATCAATGTCATATTTCCATAGTGTATAAAGAGATATTTATAATGTAGAAAGTTTTAATTGTTCAATTTTGGTTTCGCTTCATGCAGTTCTAAGTATAAGTGTTCATATTGTTGTGCTCATATTATATACATGTAACAATGTATATGATTACTTAATGTTTCAAAAATTCATACTGTACACATCCTCATGCAAACAAGAAATGTCATCAAATCTGTGTAGTCAAGCACTGCTAAATACGTTTTTTTACAAGGATCCATATACTGTAGTGGCTATCATAAGAGGCTAACATATTATGGATAAAAATAATTCTTACGTCAGTTATAAATGAAATAATATTGTTTATTATTTCTAAACAAGGCCTACTCCACAGGTACCATGCATGTAAGCTGAACTGCATGACTTGAAATAATTCAGAATTGATTGCTTTTCATATTGTGCGCACTGATAACAAGTTGGATTTATTCTAGCAGTAAAGCTAAGGGAGTTTAGACACTGAGAAGGAAGGTGCTTACACAATCAACAGAAGAGGGTGTAAGTTCTTTTCACTGAAGCCTGCTGGTAAGGTCAGTTCCATGGGGAGTTCTATAAACAGCAAAACTGAGAACATGTTGTTCTGACAAAGACTATACATTAATTGTAAGAACAGAAAACACATATAGAGTAAAAAAAATACAAAATTGAATTATCACAGATAAAAGGAAAATGCCATTTTAAAAAAAAGCATTATTTTAATTCTGCTGAGCAGAGCATTGCAGTGCAATTGTAAAGACTGTGGACATTTCACCAATAAATTAACCACATTTAATTAAGAGCCACATTTAATTGTGCACAAAGCAAGAAAGAGAAACCATATGGGATGTTATCCCTTTTAATTCAATAAATTAATCTATACAATGAAATATTTTGCAGCCTTGCCATTCAGCTCTGCACCTGTTTTTAATTTGATCTCTACATCTGCTTTCAGGCGTAAGGAGCATTTGTCTCATTTCTATATATCTAATTATACATTCTGAGTCTGCTCTCTGTCCTCTAGGAGATGTATGTCCTTGATTCGTCATGATATGGTTGTTAAAGTTCACTTCCAATTGTATAACTGACTGAACTCTTAATTCTACAGTATAAAAGAAACTGTTACAGTAGCTGTTAGTGCCGATGATACAACAATGACAACAATAATCATCTTACCATGGTTGTTCACTTGTAAAATTCTGACTTCTTTCTCCAGTGTTTTTTTCCCACTCATAAATTCTCTTATTTCTGTGTTACTTTCCAAAATGTGAAAACCTAAGAGCACAGATGTTTGTTGGGGTATATGCAATAGAATACATTTCCTACAAAAAGTAAGCCATTCTACATTTGCAAATTTAATCTGATTTGTAGCCTTTTTGCTGCATTGAAGAAATATATTTTTTCTTGTCCAGGGTAACATAAAAAATAGGTAGTTTTTAGTATAACTCAAGTTTTAATTTTCTTGGAAATATCTAATGTAGTCTGTTATACAACAATTTAGTGTTACACATCTTTGCAGGTCAAACACTGTATATATCTTTTTTTAATGATGAGTAAGACACCTTCTCCTCCAGTTAATTGTTAATTAACACCAATCAATATTTCATGAATATTTAACAGAAAACATTTCTTGTAATGAAAAATCATTAACTGTTCTTTGTTTTTGAACATAAATGAACATAAAATTCCACACGAAACATTTATTATGCATCCTAGGTTCATTCATAAAATGCTTTTACATATTTATTTATGCAAATGGAGGAAACAATGCATGGATGCTGTAGGATATGAAAAAACAAGCTTAAAATGTTTGCACAGTCAAATAAATAAAGATAAAATACTGAGACGCTGCATTTACCAGCCTGATATTTTGTGTACCATGTACTGAGGCTCCAATGATTAATTATGAATCAATAAGTTAATTGCATGACATCTGTAGACTAATGGGCGATAAAAGAGTTTTCCTCTTTTGATCACAGAAGCTGAGGCGACCTAGCTCCATTCTGATTTTTAAAACTGTTAGTGCATGACCAATATTCATAGGCTTGCAACTTGCCAGATACAAAAACGAATGTTTCACTACCCATTTTGTGTCACTTCCGTGCTATTATTTTGAAGTATTAGATCAGAAATGGCTTGGTCTAGTGGATAAGTTTGAGATTGGTAGAAGAAAAGGTGCAGTGCACACTTCACTGGCTCACAAGTTGCTACATATCAGCGGCAATTATTCCAGATTGAAATGATGTGTTTCTGTTTATGATGGCAGTTTTATCCAGGTGAAGATGTCTTTAGCCATCTGGGAAATCAGGAGGACGAAGGCTCTACTCACCACCCAAGTTATTGAGCCAGTGAACACTGACCTTAGGAATGTCTGGACCTACAACACAGAGGGGTTATTAAAACCAGGAATTCAGAGTTATCTGTGGTGCTGAAAAATGATGGAAAATCACTGATTAAGATTCTTGCTCAGAAAGAAAAAAAATTGGAAAAATACCATGTTAAGCAACAGCACAGGAACATGTAAAGAACTATGAATATTAAGTATATTATTCATTAATATATAATTAAAAAACATATTTTTCATGGCAGCATATAACATCAACAGTGCAACAATGTATTAGAATTTCCTAATGACCGTAAGTAGTACTGTACATAGGGTTACTGTGATGTATGTTAAATTTATAATGTATCATACCTTTACAATTTAGGATGGCACTCTGCATTGTTGGACTGAATTCAGCACTGACGAATGTACAAGTTCCATTATATAAACCGCAAGTGAGGCATCGGCGATTAAAAGGCTCTTCCACTGACACCCTGGAAAAATGATTAGATCCCAAAAAACAGCTATAGTTGCAATGATGTAACCTTTCCCATGTTTCCAAACACAATGTAAGTATTTCCTGTGCAGTTAAAAAAACAATAAATAATATTTTTATTTGCATAGCCTCTAACGTAATAAACAATGGAACATGCATTTGAGAGACCTTTACTTAAAACGAATCTGTGGACAGAAGAAAGGGGTAATGGATTTACATCTAGAGAGACTTTGATGTCTTTTTAAACCAAAAATATAGAAAATGGGAAACTGAAAGGGAAAGAATTACAGTAGAACAGGAAACGTTCATACCTGTATAACTGTCTCTGAGCTGAACTGTCCTCTGTACTGAGAAAGTAACTAGGGATAAAAAACGATACATTAAACAATCTGGAATTATCTTATTGTACTGTAGCTGCCTACACAATTTTGCTTGTTAAAGCAGATTTTCTTCCCTGTTAATTTACTTAAGACACTAATATCTGACCATAACTTACACAATCTTCTGAGTCTCGTCAAAGGCCAGGATTTCAGTAACTTCCCAGTTTCCAGACGTGAGGTGCCGAATGGTTATCTCCTCACTTCTTGACTGCAGTTGTTAGTAAATAGGCATAAAACACAAGAAGGCTCTGTAAAAACTTTATGGACATTATGAGCAACCTGGCCACAGGGATTAGGCCATTTAAATCCTTTAAATGCATTTGTGAACCATCATTTTTACCATCATGTAAAACCCTTTTACCCTTAAAGGCTTTCCCTTGGAGGCTATTAATATGCTGAGAACAAAAAGGACATGTTAGTAACCTACTTTAATGTTCCTCTCTACTTGGAATTTATACGATCAGAATAAAATGAGTTCTATAGTCCCAACTGTGCTTACAAAAGACAGGAATGTACATTACAGAACAATGACAACCATTGGCTCAAACTTGCAGATGCCTTGGCAGCTACAATTCACATAGGCCAAAATGATACACAGCAGAGAGAGAATGTGTGCCTGGTGCTGAACTAACGGTGTGAATTCAGCAACATCATTAGGGCAGCTGTAGAATTCACAGTATACTGTCATATCCCTGCTATGACCTTGAAAACATTATCTGCAATTTAGCTTTGTTATTCTGTAATTTAATGATCACAAAAAGATCCATTGGAGAATGGGAATTCATAGGCTCATTATGCAATGTGATATTAAAAATGTAGGATAATCATAATAAAATAGAGATGGATTCGGAGGTGACATAAACATTAGAGGCGGCATTAGCGAAGGGAATTTTTGAGGTTATAAAACTGATGAGACCCTGTCAGCTTCTAGACAGACGGCCAATAAAGCATCTAAATAGTAACTCTTGAAAGAATATGCTTTGCTTAACAAAATAAAAAACAGGAGAATGTAGTCCTATTTAATCTCAGAAATGGCTAATTTGTATTCTACAGCAGGATAAAGTTTCACCCATTTGAAATGTCAATAGAACAAAGTGGATTATTAATATTGTGATATTAATGATAAACGTGCATCCTGGACAGCACACTCACAGAGGCTCCTTGGTATCTTTACCTGATCAGAAAACATTGCAATATGATGAAAGTCTCCTCTCGCTCCATGCTTTATTGGTATTGTCAAGAAGAATTTACTTCCATCCTTTGAAAACACTGGCTGTTCATTCTGGAAGTCAAATAAAGGTAACTATAAAATTTATGGCGGCATAACAAAGGAATACCAAACAGTTTTATAGCATATTTTATTGCTCTGCTTTTAGCTTGACATGTCTGCTTTCCGAGGGCGCTCTAAGAAATGAACCTTTTTACAACTGGGATGCCAGCGTGGCCACATTAAATCCATTTACAGTGACTTGTATTCTGTGGGATGGGACCTCATAATGCATTTATCTAGAGGATTCTTTTAAGGCATCTGAAGAGGTAAATGTTCAGCTCTTGTCTTTAGAAACCACTGTGCGTGTTTTTCACTGTGTTTAATGCAGGTTCATCAACAATAAAAAGATGTCTTCAGTTTCAAAAATATACTTAATATTCATGGCAATGAATACAGAACAGATCATGTTCCATTTCGCAGGACGTGAAGTCCTGTGACTAAGAGAAAGTCATTTGGCCCATTGATCAGATCACTGATCAGGGGATTTCTTCCAGCCCTTTCCTGAAGGAAAGACATGATTGGGTAACTTTTTTCAATCCCTCCTAACCTTTTATGTAAAGATATGCCTTCTGTGGTCACAAGTATGCCAGGTGACATCATTCTCAAGTACTGTGATCTCAGTTTTTACCTGTGCATTTGTATATTGAGATCAAAGAAAACTAATTGATTACTGAGGCTTTTTATTTGACTTACTTAGAGTATACACTTGGCCTCTTATTTGTAAGTAAAATGAATTGCCCGAATTAGAAGATAGATGTTCATATTCATATACAAATATATTCATATTTACAACATATGATATAAAGTTTACAAACAGGAACATCAAGAGTAGTTAGATAAAGATGCAATGCAACCACTAGTCTCTGTAAAATGCAAATCTAGTACTTACAATTTCTAAAAAAGAATAAATATTTTAAAAAATATATGGAAAAAATTGCCACCTCATGCTAGCACTCCATTATTTGTGTTAATAATGATACATAAATTGTACCTGTCTGTCAAGCCAAATATCCGATGTCATCACATGTTTCTGATAAGGAAAAAACATAAAAATAATGTTAAATATTGGAAATATAGAAACGCTACTGAACATTCTAAATTGCAGTATACATACTTAATTATTTTAGGTTAGACTGCATTTGTTTAGGCTTACAAAATTACAAACCCAGTACTTGATGCTGAGCTCCTGTTGGATAAAAACAAGCAGGCCTCAAAACCAGCACTGAAGCAGCCATCAATCTGCAATCTTTGATTGATGGTTAGATCAAAATCTTGATTGAACACCGGCCTTAATTTGAGTTAACCTATTAAACATGATTTATATATTTGACACATCAGTTCTATGCCTGAATATTAGGGGACCCACCAGCTAAGTAATAAAAAAATATAATAGTTGCTGGATGCAGAACATTTAATTTAATGACTTAATTTAATTGTTATAATACAGTAAATGCGCTAAACGTACAGTAAATAACAGATGTTCTTTCATTTGCAGTACCTTGACACATTCCCCACTGGAAGCCTCACAGACAGTAAGAATAGATGTATTCTGCGGTCTGTTCAGCCACCTCACTGATATACTGTAGTTGTCGGTCCATTTCACCATAGAGATATAGTAATCACTGAAGAAATATAATTAACACATATTTTAAGCATCCTTTATTAAAATAATATAATTTATACAATGCATCACAAAGCTCAGTAATTAAAGTAAAGTAATTCAGCACTTATAGGGCCCAAAACCAGTAGTAGGGTAAGCATATACTGTACAGTGAGCATCAAAGGAAACATCACTGTATTTATGCAAGTGGGTTTTAGAAACATAAAGTGTACAGATTTTGTATAATGATGGAACCTCTTTGAGTCATTTTAAATAAGTAACCATTCATAACTGGTGACACACTCGTGTGACTTTGAGCTTTGCAAAAACACTAAATCGCCTCATTAGTGAGTCGACTGGTACAGGTGATTGGGAAAGGGCAGTACAGTAGGTTCAGTCAAGATGGGAACCCTTGTCTGACCTACACTCCAGATGTTGACTGGCCTTGGAAACCTGTGCTTCTTGGTGTTTAAATTGTCATCTGACCAATTGTCCTATGCCAACAGGTCATTCCCCAGAAGTTGTGGAATTTTTGTCTTCCTCTCACAGCAAATAAGTGATTTCATCTATTGAATCTCAAACCATTGGTGATGGCTACCATAGTAGAACAGTGCAGCCAAGTCCTTTTTAACAATAAATCTAGGCTCTGTGGACACCTCCTAATAAATGTCAGTAAGTGTGGTGTGGGCAAGCAGAGAGATAAGCTAATTGATGTGCACTTCAATTGATGTGTAATCAATACAGATATTCAAGTGTAATGGTCGCTACAAAATAACACTTGTAGCAATTGATGGCCGTCTTATTGCATGACGCTATGGGACTTCACTTGATGTCCTTCCTTCAGGGTTGTTCTGATGAAATTATATACCAGCAGGACAATGCTCATCATCATGCAGCTCATGTGACGCTGGGCTGTCTTGGAAGATGAAATGTAACAGTTATATCATGCATGCCCTGATCGTCAGATTTATGTCACATGGAACTGCTCAATTAGTTGCTGGTGAGCTACTGTAGAGGGGCTGACTGGCTTCATCTTATTTATGACCTGTCTTATGCTGTTGATCGTGTGCTAGCGATGGCCACACACATTACTAGATTGTGGTTTCACAATATATCCTCTGCTAATCAACCCTGTTGATAGTCAGCATAATGAATTTACTTATGTCATGAGCGTTTCATAAAATGTCAGCTTCAGCAAAAGTATTTTATCATTTTCCTAAAAATAACATTGTGAATTTGTTGCAGTTACAAGAGATATTTTTCTTTTGATGCTCAGTATATTATGCTATAAGATGCAACTGTCTAAGAATAGCAGAATACATGCGAATCAAAACACAATGAGATGTTGTTCTATAAATATACTGAATTAAATCACCTAAAACCAAAAATATAGGTTGAATATCCCATGGAGATATACTTTTATACTGATAACATAAATAGATTTTCTATTCAACCAGTAAACATTCTGTCATAAATAAAATGTTAAAACAACACAGACCCCCTTTATTATAATCTATTTCCAGAAACAGTGCAAGTACTGTATAACATTTGGAATAACATCATTCAGGTTTTCTGCCTGAGTCTAATTTGGGCCTTTTTTTATAACTAGGTTTCTGGTCAGACAAGTCAAACATATACAGAACATGCACCCACAGAGCTATGATACTTGTAATTAGTTTGAAACTGTGTGCATTTGCCACCTATACAGTGATATACAGAAATACCCAGAGAAAGATACATGAATGAACTGAAGGGAGGATCTGCGAGTTTAACAAATTGATACAACATAACATCTCAGCTGAATGGCAATTAACCAGTACTCCAGAGGCATCATGTAAAAATGACTGTAAAAGTGACTAAAAGCTCCCCAAGAGAAAAACAAGTGTTTTCAGTCATCAGTAGAAAAGGAAAAAAATTACCTTTTTCGAAAGCTGCTGGGAGGCACCATCTCCACTGTTTGTGTCACCACATTAACGTTTACCACATAGAGTTTTACTGTAGGGTTCACCTGGCCTGCCTTTAAAGCACGACAAATAAAATGTAAAAAACCTCAAGTGTAATATGCATTCTGTGAGGTAGTGTCAAAGGTCGACACCTCATTCTCAGTTCATTATTGAAGAGCATGTTTCCTTTTCTTTATGCACTCACCACATTCCTTTCTTGCCACTAGCATTTAATGCGCATGATAAGAGTTAAAAAAACATTTGACTCTCGATTATCAAGAGCACAAATGACTGAAACAAAACAGAATCCATGTCAGCAGTTCTGTCAAACCCTAATTCAGACGGAGAAGGGGCATGATCTGAGTAGTGAGCTTTATTTGAGTAACTTATCTGGCTAAGGAGCAACCATCCATTCATAAGGATGGGGCTGTCACAACCCCCCATTAAAGAAGGATGAATCAGGGAGCTGCTGCAAGGGTGAAGATGGGGTGGAGGGAGGGGAGTGAAAACAAAACTTGTAGGCGAGTCAATGAGAAGATTGATATGTAGGAAGGCAGAAGTGGCAGAGATTAGGAAAGAGATTTTACCAATTCGATTTTTCAGTGTCTTTTGCAATTTGCCTCTCAGGACAGGTAATGCAATCCATGATTGTACTATATCTGCTCGTCATTTCCAATTTCCAATGTTTAATTACCAGATCTGCCGTGATCCCTTCAAAGCACAACCAACATTTGCTATTTAAAATATTTACCAATATAAAGTTACCTTTACAAAGAATGGTGAACGAATCAAGGAAATCAGTTTGCAACTTTAAACAGATCAATTGCATTTCCCTCTTAATTCAGTTAATAAAGTGAGACTGATGAGTAGCTGTTTGCATCACCCAAGTGAGTACTGCACCTCACTGTTTGATAAATGTTCCCCACCCCATAAGGGATGAATTTAGAGATCCTATGAAATAAGGAACACTATACAAAAGCAAGCAATTAATATGTAATCATAACTTAGAAGGACAAATGTAAAGACTGTAAAATGTTATTCTACCAGAGGTTTTGAAGATTTATTTGCTTAATTTAGACATGTTTTTCACTTCATGGCAGGAACTGAAACATATTCTTGTCTGCAATGGAATCCATTTAAAAATACCTTTAAGTTCCATTTTTATTCAGATTCAGAAGAGAATATATTTTCACTGTACAGTATTAGATTAATAAGGTGATCATGAGCAGAGCAGGTCAAAATTTAAAAATAATAGTGAAATTATCCTCATAGCAGAGGACTTTAAGACTTTGAGAATTACTGTAATACATAAAAGTCTGGACATTTACACAAGTTAAAAATCCAGCCGTCAGTACCTGTAGTGAATTGTTCCCATGCACACCAAAATTCTTATCTATTGACACATTGTATAGTTTTATCTATTCTAACTAGCACATGCATTTATAATTATCAAAGGGTGCTGTATCAAATGCCAGTAGCTATATCACCCTGCAACTCACCATTGAGCTAAGCAGGTGGGAGCCTGGCCAGTACCTGGGTGAGAAGTGGTGTTAGTGGAACCTCTAGGGGGTGTTCACCCTGCGGTCTGTGTGGGACATAATACCCTCAGTAAAACTGAGGTCCTGACTGTAGTCATTAAAAATCCCAGGGCATTTCTTGAAAAAGAGTAGGGGTGTTACCCAGGCTTCCTGGTCAAATTTCCCCCTGGCTTTTACCAATCATGGCCTCCTAATAATCCCCATCTCTGATTTGGTTTCATCACTCTGCTCTCCTCCCCACTGATAGCTGGTGTGTGGTGAGCGCTCTGGTGCAATCACATCATCCAGGTGGGGCTGCAAATTGCTGGTAGTGGAGGGGAGTCCCCACTACAGTACCTGTAAAGTGCTTTGAGTGAAGTATCCAGAAAAGTGATATACTGTACAGTACAGTATAAGTGTAAGGAATTATTATTGCTGTATATACTGTGTAAATAGTGCCAATTGGCTTATGGATAACACTGTATACTGTGCTGAAAAGAGAAGAAAGAAAACACAACGTTTCAGCCATGGAGCCTTCTTTGGGTGTCAGGTGTTGACACCTGAAGAAGGCTCCACGGCCGAAACGTTGTGTTTTCTTTCTTCTCTTTTCAGCATGGAATAAACCTTTACTTGTTCCTTAATAGCCTACGCATACTGATGCAGCTATGCACCTGAACTATATACTGTATATACACACTGTTTAAAATTTCAGCTGATGGGTCCATTCATATTTTCAAGGGTCCTTTAATCTTTGAGCAGGTCATAGACGCTGCAAAGCTTCTTGTTGCTTGTTTGCAGCCTATAACATTTCCAACGACACTCCTGCTAGCAGTAAATCACACCACTCGAGATGAATTATAACACAAGGCATAGAAGGGGAAGGCGAGGTATGAAGAAGGAACTCTAACAGCCTATCATATTTAATTATCTCTGGACTTCCCTATATACTTTTTTTAGATATTGAGTCTCAAGTTAATTATTTTACCTTAGGATAGGGATATTGCTGTCCTCTGGGGTACAGACTGCCTGTTAAGCGAGGAAGGGCCATGTTTGGAACCAGGGAGTCATTAATCATCAGGAATGCCAGCTTTTCTCCGTCTGGGGACCACCAGTGGGCAACGTGTGACTGCAGCAGCTCCACTGCAAGCAATTTGTATTTGTCACAAATGGAAAACATGGTAGGCGTTTCGGCTGTAACTGTCAATGAATGGCAAAGTGAGATGTGCCCCCAGGCGAGTGACAAGCCGAAATGTGTTTCAGGTTGATCATGCTATCAAGACATTGCTCTATCACAGCATTAACATTGGCTGCGTGTGAAAAGCCAGATCAAGAATACTTCTGTAAGATCCATTCTGCTGTTATTAAGGCAGAATGTCTTTATGAAATACATGCATTCTCCCCGCTCAGGCTGTCATTGTTCTTAGACATATATCTCTTAGAATCCCTTTATTTTAAACTTTCTTTCCCACAGTGTACATGTATGATGAACCTAGTTGGAGGAGGTAATAATAACAGTTTAAAACAATGTTTCGACAAAACTAGACTAAAACTGTGTTTGTTCTATTTCAAATCAAGAACACCTTCCATGTAGCCTGCTACACCAACACAAGACTCTGAGGCAGATTTCTGAACACGGTACAAGATTATGTTTCTCAAATGGTTTTATTCCTTGATTCTGTATTAACCGTTTCAGTACAGGAAAGATGGGGATGGTCCACAAAGCCATAAATAATTTGATGAAAGGGGATATTGGGTTCAAGATGCAGTCTTTGTCCGGCAGGAGTTTGGAGGAGGAGGAGAAGACGAATTGCTTATCATATGACAATGTTGGTTGAGTAGTCTAAGGATTGCAACTGGCAGGAAGAATGGGTGCTTATAATTAATTGTGCCGTGTTCCATGTAATACAAAGCAGAAAGCAAAGCAAAAATAAAACTGACATTTTAGAACTAATTCAGATAGTTATTCTTGAAACTTAATGAGCTTACTGTATGCTTTTGAAAGGTGCCATAGTATTAGGGTGTTTAGTAATGTTGAAAATACTGTATAACAGTTGTAAACTTTCCATTGCAACAGGATGAAAAAATCTTCCATTGTAAAAAACGATTTAGAACAACAACATCTTTTGTGACATTAATACTTTTTTAAACCAACTGAATGTAATGTCATGTCAGTGAACACCACACTGCAAAGTAACTGCTAATTAGCACAGAGATGAACTAAAACTCAAGGTCACATTTTGTTTCAAAACATTTCTGTAATTTTAAATAAAGCATTTGTGGTTCCTAACATCAGCGAAATGTTTAATAAGATATCTTGCTTCAGAGGCATCAGCATATTGGGGTAAACAATAACAGCTGTTAGAATTGGGTCTATCATTTTTTTGCATAAGATGTTTCCTTAAAATAAGTGCATATTAATTACACATGCACATTATGGTGGAATAAACAGAAAGGGAACATTCTCAACACTTTGTTTTTGCTTTATGATAGCTAAATTTCAGAACTTGCTCATTTGTATTCTACTGTATGTACAGTATTATGGTCAGATAATGAGGCTGGAGGACAGCTTTTGTGTTGTCTAGTTTAGATGTATGAGAATGATGATTAAGTTTATTGACACAAAATAACTTTCTTTTACTGTATGCGTGATATGTGATACTGGTTTGGTTTATCCTTTAATTAAGGAAACATAACTTACCTTCATACAGCCAGTCTGCAATCCCATTGAAAACAACTCCTTCTCTTCCTGATGATGTGAGCCTCAGGGAATTGCTCTGTCTGTCACGCTGGTAGTAAATGTTATTTTCAAAAATATAAACCTGCAATTCACAAAAAACAAAGCATTAAATAAGTGTATACATAGGCCATGTTGTTCTTATTTAAAAACAAAATTATAATTTCTCTCTACATGATCTATGGAATTAACTGAACAAATGACTAATTATGAATTCAGATTGAGTTCAACAGAGTAAATACTGTAACTGAAGGAGGCTTGAACCTAATTCATTTAACAACAAACCACTTTTATTAAGTTCCTGTCTTTTGTACATATGCCTTTTACTGTACATCAGAGACATTTAATAGCCATTTTCACAGACTGAGAGATCTACTTTCTCTTGGAAGCAACATGGATAAATTAAGTGAATGGCAGTCTGCCATACAGAATATGTTCTAGATAAATTATATAAAATTAAAGGGGGAAGACCATTCCTTGTATTATAATTAATCAGCTTTTTAGTGCATTACTTTATTATTATACTGTACAAATATCAGTTTTAATTACCGTGTTCTAAAACTACCTAAGTTTTATACTCACCTATTTGGTAACATAAAACTTTATGTTCTTGTTTCACAGCAAGCACAGAATAAAAATGGAAGCATAACTAACGCTTCTAAAAAAGACAACTTTTTTAATATATAAAACACACAGTAATCCATGATAACAAAGGACGTCGATTGCTGGTAGCTAGTCTCTTTCACAGGGACCAAACAGGGACTCCAGGTAACCTTGACAAACTCCACACAGAAGGTGCCACAGCCAGGAACTGATCTCAAGAGCCAAGGGCTATAACAAGCCAACAAGCCTATCCAGTGGTTAATCTAATAATAATGTTACATATCACCATAAACATAGAGGTAGGTCAGTTTTGGAAAGAACACCTTTTTATCTCACAATAATACATTCATTGGCTTCCTTTGCAGTCGAGGATGATTGTTTTCCTTTGACCCAAAGGCGACCAACAATATGGGACCTGC